CCATCCAATGCCTTCTTTGCATCAACTTGATTTGATTCACATGATTTTGTTTGTTTTTTCTACCCAGAAACTCTACATTAGTGATTCCCCTCTACCCCACCCAAGTACTATTCAAGTTTCTCAATTCTATGCAGGCATCAGAGTCTCGTCCTTTTTAGGATGACATTTTTTGTCATTTGAAGCCCCACCCTGGCTTTTGCCGGGGGCCGCAATATAGGCAGGCTATAAATATGGCCAATTGTCTGAACGCGGTTTCTGGGGCCTCTCCACGGCGATCCTCATCCACATGGTGGCACTTTGTGTCATCGGGTGTTTATCGCTTGTGTGATGTCCTGGTGGGGTAGAAAGTCAGTCAGTCAGTTCTCCGCGTCTCAGTTAGCTTTCCACCGAAGGGGCCTAACTCTTCAGCGACTATACAGGACAAAATACTCGATACTCATTGGCTACATCTTATACAGTATACAGAACTATAAATAAACTAGAACGTCTGCAACTTGGATTATAGTTTACAGTTTATCGTATGATTGATATCTCATTTGGTTTTATTATTCTCTACTATAAGTCTACAAGGTATTACTGTCGCTCTGTGCATGTAGTGTTCGTACAGACGTGCAGATTTATAATAGTAGAAGCGCTCCGCGCAGATAAATTTAGTAGTATATTACCGTGATTATTTATTGTAAAATAAAAAATATTAAATTAAAGAGGTCGTTTACACTATTTATATTTTTTACAGTACAGTGGGAGACACTGACTGACCAATCCCCCTCAAAACTGTTTTGATCTGCGCATCTCTGTAAACTCTTCTGTTGGTATTTCATAATCCTCTTCTTCTTCAGCATTCCGAGCCCTTAAGGTTCGTTGCTGCAGATATCACCATCATACGCCTCGTATTTCATAATAATAAATACAGTGAGTGATCTTTAATAATATCCGAGGGTATCTCCCACACCTCTACGTGCGGCGGTGATTGGGACTAAACTAGATGGCTGGGACTGACGAGCAGCAGCTACCGCATCTCCTGCAGCTTCCTTTATTTTATTTGCTCATGAGTCCCAGCCATCTAGTTTAGCCCCAATCCACGCCGCGCGTAGCGGCGTGGGAGATACTCTAGTCGGTGGCAGTATATTCCCCAGAAGTCCCAATTGACATGTGACTAAAGCCCTGTTAGGGTATATTTTCGGCCTCGATAATTTGGGACTGTAATTCGGAGGATAGCCAGAATTTCCTACATTAATGTAAACTTCAGTAGTCATTCTGATACGCTTAACCTGCAACAAAAATAGTCAAGGGATTAGCAAACACTTGTCTACAAGGTTTTGATTCTTAAGAATTTTAACAGAGTGATTGAACATTTTTTTTTTTTTAAATTGCTACAACAGTAGAAAGCACTCAACTCTGGGCTATCCACCGAATAACGGGCACATATTATGGCGGCCAAAAACACACCATAACAGGGCCTCAGTCACATGTCAGTTGTGGACCTCCGGTGACTACCGCCACCAACGTGGAACTGGGCTAAGCTGGGACTCATGAGCAAATAAAATGAAGGAAGCTGCAGGAGATGTGGTAGCTGCTGCTCGTGAGTCCCACCCGTCTAGTTTAGCCACGCTGCGCGTAGCGGCATGGAAGATACTCTCAGCAGAAAAGACGAACTGCCAGCAGAACTTCTCAAAGTAGATCCCAACACAACTGCTAGCATTTTAGAACCATTGTTCAAGGATATTTGGGAAAAAGAAGTGTTGCCTGATGACTGGACTGAAGGAACAATAGTCAAAATCCCCAAAAAAAAGAGACTTAACAGACTGCAATAATTGGAGGGTAATTACTCTACTCTCAGTACCAAGCAACATATTTTGTAAAATCATCATAATGTGGCTTGAAAAAAAAGTAGATAAATGCCTACGAGTGGAACAAGCAGGATTCAGAAAGGGCAGAGGAACAACTGAGCACATCTTCGCCATACGTAACATTTTAGAACAATGCAATGAATGGCAGAGAAGTATATATATTAATTTTTTGGACTTTGAGAAAGCTTTTGACAGCGTCCATAGAGACTGTCTGTGGAAAATTTTACGAAATTATGGAATTCCAGAAAAAATAGTCAACATAATTGCTCTCTTCTATAAAGACTTTTCCTGCAGTATAAAAAATTACAATACATCTTTCCCAGTAAAGACAGGTGTAAGACAGGGATGTCTTATGTCATCTCTCCTCTTCAACCTTGTGATTGATTGGATACTAAAGAACATAGTAGACAGGACATTAAGAGGCATATGATGGACTCCATTCACCATGCTTGAGGACCTTGATTTTGCAGATGATATAGCACTCCTATCACATAAACATGAACATATACAAGAGAAAAGTAACAGACTACACTGCACAGCAGAAATGGTGGGACTGAGAATAAATACAAAGAAAACTAAGATCATGACAAACAGTCCAAACCAACAACCAGTGACCATAAGTAACCAATCACTTGAAAATGTAGAACATTTCACATATCTTGGCAGTGTGGTGTCCCTACTGGGAGGGACAGAGGAAGACATACAGTCATGCCTGAACAAAGCTAGAGCTGCTTTTGGAAGGATGAGGCAAATCTGGAAATCCAACAATTACTGCAGAGGAACAAAACTCCGACTCTACAAGAGCATCATTTTGCCAGTTCTTCTTTATGGAGCGGAATGCTGGAGAATGATCAAAAAGGATGCACACAAGCTGTCCACTTTCTACCACACATGTCTACGTAGAATTATCAAAATTTTCTGGCCAGATACAATCTCAAACACTAAACTACTTCAAGCCACAAACCAAGAAACTTCAGACAGCATGATTACCAAGAGAAGATGGAAATGGCTTGGCCATGTTATGAGAATGATTTCTGATATACCTGCCAAAACAGCTCTCACATGGACACCAGAGGGAAAGAGAAAACAGGGGCGCCCAAAAACAACATGGGGACGAACGATGGAAAGTGACCTGAGTGCGGCATCTTTGACATGGAAAACTGCACTGAAGATTGCACAGGACAGGAAAGCATGGAAAGTCCTCTCTGAAGCCTCATGTGCCACTAGGCATAACGAGAACTGATGATGATGACTATTGTTAGCACTATTGACATTATTGTTCCTATTATTTTAATCGCCACTACAATTATTACTTCTTTTACTAATGTTTTATTATTATTAATACTATTTCAGCTGCTTCATTTCTTTTATTTGTTCCACACCTTTTCCTTTTCCTATTTTTTTAAATAGTTATTCACATAACCCCCTTGTGAAGGGACTGGTGATCTTGTTATTATGCCCTTTGTTGTTCTTGTGATTTAAATTGAGAAAGTCTCTGGCTAAAATGTCTTTTTGTCTTTTCCCATTATATATTTCCCCTTGCCCTTTTCATTAGGCTTCGTAGTCTCAGTTCAGTGGATTAATTCCTTTATTTTTTGATTAGTTTTTATTCCTTTTTAGGTCCTTCCCATTAGCATTTGTGTCATCTGAGTCTTGAGAAAGGGTTTAATTTATCAGAATGAGTATAGTATAGAGAATTATCTCCAGACTCGTACAAAAGTACTATCATCACAGGGATTTTAATTTAGAGCCCAGAAACCATCAGGGTATTCAGGACTGGTACTGGTAATTCTCTTCTGTGGAAAGACATTAGAATGTAGCCAGGTCATGGTTCAGCACACTACATACTGACAGTGAATCAATAGATTTAAAAAAAAATAACAAGATGCTGGTGTCAGATAGGAAAACCTGAAAACAATATAGACAGTCAGAATGTCTTGACACTAGAACCCACAAAGTCACAGACATAAAACATACCAAAAAACACATACAGAAGGGATCTAGAGAGTGGAACAGATGGGCAGGCCACTGGGTGAGCTGCATGCTGTAGCCAAGGATAGAAACACTTGGTATAAGTTGACTGAGGGTCCATCTCCTTCAGGGATAATGCACAGAAAAAGAAGGCATACTGACTGGCTGGGATTAGGTCTTTGTTGGTAGTTTTTCCTTTGTGAGGCTCAGATATTACATTGTCAACATTTCAGTCTAGTGTCCTGAAGAATAAGCTGTTTTATTAACCAACTTTCTTCTGCTTTTTGACTGCTGACTCAGAAATTATTACTAAATTTCATTCTGTCCCTGATATTTTTAATAGTAACTCTTTCTAATCCAGAAATTTGTTGCACTATAGTGGCAGAAGATTGGGACAAAAAGAGTTAAGAAAAGTACATCACATGTGTGTAACCAGTCAACTTATTGTGGTTCACCTGATTTAGTAATATTGAAACCATTGCCTTTCTTTCATGACATGGAGACATTTATTGTCTGAATTGATAGTTGACATTTAAGAGAATAAGTCAATCCAATCACAGTAATGCATTTGGTGTAACTGAAAGTCACATTTCACCTGTATGCCTTCTTTATCCTTAATTTTTCTGCTAAAAAATCGTTAGTGACAGGAACACTCATATTGGATATTCTGGACCCTTTCTGAAGAAATGCCAAGGGACAGTATTATCTAATATGAAATAACACGTGTAAGGATGTGTAAGTAGAATTAAGGGTAGATCCAACCAACAAACAAAGTATGTATGCGTGTATGAGTACAGTCAGCATCTACACCATGGCTGTTCAGCTAAGTTTACTAAGAGTCCACAATTTTGAAAACAGGGATCGTCATGGACCTGAAGCCTGAACCTAAGAATGGAAAGCTCATTAATACAAAACAGTTTTCAATGATCCACTGGCCACTTGCTAGACCTTCAGCAGCCAGATTTGGCCCTCGGGCTGCCAGGTGAAATGCCCTGATCTACACCTTGAGACATTTGCTGCCAGTGATGGGCATCTGTGGGTGTGCCTGGTTGGCAAATGTTGTCTTAAATCAGTAATCCTTCCGATTACTGCGGCATTCTGTTTCATATAATTGACAACAATTGTTTTTTTTAAATGTTCTTTGTTTTGCAAGTAGAAAGTAACAGAGACTGACGTAAAATGAGTAATGTCAAAGTGGATGTTCAGTGGTCTCCGGTTAATGATGACATGTTCATCACTTATGGGACTGCAATAAACCTGTATCAAGCCAAGGAGAGAGATGGCATATATGAATTATCACACACAGGTAACATTACATTTGAATAGATAATTTCCTGTTCAACCCTTTGGGAATATAATTAGGTTATATAGTGTGTGCTCATATTACTGTTAAGGGATTTAAACAGTTTATCTATATCTTTTGAGCAGTTAGGTCATATAAGGCTTAAAATTTGGTACATAGGATTGTGTAATATTGCCTAGTTGCCTCATGTTGTGTAGGCTTTATGTTCTTGGTAATCTGCTTTGTTTTTTTTTACAGCTTTTAACTAGATAACTTAAAGACTAAAAAAGTAACAGTCAAGAGGATTGACATAAGTGCATTGGGTTTTATCCCAATTCACTCAGTCTCTCACCTCAGAACAGCTGGCCGCCTGTCAAGAGTGCCGCACAAAGCACAAACTCCATAAGTCCGGTGACGATCCCAAGGGATCTCCAGAAAAGTTGCACCAGTGAACTGAACTACGCAGCCATGAAATGAACCTATGACTTTCAGATCACAAATCAAATGGTTTGACCACTTTATCATCGAGACTCCCTAAAAGGCTGTCCCTTTGTACACTTAGCACTGCTAAGTAAAAAGGAAATTGTACGGTCTAAAATGGGTAAGAGGAAAAGGAGGTAAAGATGGCCACTTGATATTGGTCCTGTATCGTCAAGTGCCAATTGGTCCATAACATATGGTTCTAGCACAATATGCCGAAATAGGCTTCAAAATGTGGAATAGTGTCATTTAAATATTTTTGATGTTTTCAGACAAAGTGAAGGCAGTCTTATGGTTTCAGGGATCATATTTTATTCTGTGCTTGTTATTGTTAAAATAAATTTCTTTCAGATGGGAAATATAGCACCAATAGTTCAAAGATTGTACAGCTGGCCACCAACTCTGATCTACAGTTTATGAAGGTAATATAATAGTTTTTTCTTAGATAAGATTTTGGTGAAATTATAATCGTCTCCTTTCTTCTTTTTTCACCAGCTGTAAGCTCTAGTGGAAAATCCTGGTTGTCCATTCATTTGGAATTTGGCTTTGTGACAGGGCCTGAGTTTTGCATATACATCCGTTTTACTGGTTTATTTGTGTGCAGTTGGTGGTTCCTTGCTGCTCGGGAAGATACACTCCGACTTTGATAAAAGCTGCCAGTTAGCCAACTTCTACGGCATGCTAGTTGGGAAGGCAGTGGGTCTGTTCTTGTTTTCCCCGGAACCCACACAGGAAGAAATTATCAAAACAGGGTTCATTTGATATTGTTATATCTTGTTGGAATATGATGTACCCAACCACCCAGGACTACTCGTTAACTCATGAGTCCCACAGGATTTAGAATCACGGGCCCAAGGGGTAGAAAAGAGAGACATAAAATTGGCGCTTCATGCGTTAATTGGGCTTCTAGGTAGAAACCTAGGAATGCATGATGTTCCTCTGGACTCAAAGAGTTAACTTAACTTTGTAACGATAATACTCCAGTATGACTATATTGTGAGGTTGAGCAGGGTTTCAAGAATTTTGCTTCTTGTTGTTGAGCTCACATATTATAGAAATGGACTGGGACTGAAACCAGTCATGTAGTTCATGAAAATGAGATGATCTGGCCATCTGACAAGAATGCCTTTGTACCAATCACCACAGAAAGCCAGGTTCATGAAAATGAGATGATCTGGCCATCTGACAAGAATGCCTTTGTACCAATCACCACAGAAAGCCAGGTTCATGAAAATGAGATGATCTGGCCATCTGACAAGAATGCCTTTGTACCAATCACCACAGAAAGCCAGGTTCATGAAAATGAGATGATCTGGCCATCTGACAAGAATGCCTTTGTACCAATCACCACAGAAAGCCAGGCTGAAGAAATATAATGAACACAGAGTAATGGGAAGGCCACACAGAAAGTGGAAAAAAAAAAGTGGTATCAGGAACAGTCTTTAAGAAATGAAAATCAATTTATGAAATGCATTAGAAGGAACACAGAAGACCCTTACATCTTTCTCTACTACCTCGATGAGATAATTGTATGTTTGTTAACTGATTTAGGATTGCTAAATCTCGTTTTGATCAATAACTATCTTCATTTTTTTTGCGATCAACCTAAAAAAAAGGTTCTCAACTGAGAAACCTGGCTCCAATGGTACTTGGAAAGTGAAAACATTTTCACGCCGCAGCAGGCAGGATTTAGACAGTGCTACTCCACAGAAGACCAGACAACTTACCTTTCACAAGAAATTGAGGATGCCTTCCAGGAAAAGAAGCTAGTGCTAACTGCATGGATAGATCTGAAGAAAGCCTTTGACAAGGTCTGGAAAGAAGGTCTACTGAAGAAACTGAGAGACTGCAGGGTGAATGGGAGTATGTACAAATGGGTCAAAGCATACTTGTATAACAGAAGATCCTGAGTACAGATAGATGGACTTAAGAGCAAGAAAGTTTTGCTGCGCCATGGCGTCCCACAAGGAGGTGTCCTGTCCCCCACACTCTTCCTAGTCTATATCAACGACCTGCTTTCTGAACTACCCCATGGAATTAAAGCTGCAATGTATGCTGATGACTTGGTACTCTGGTGTACAAATGAAAATGCGACAGTGGCCACCAGACTGCTACAAAGAGCCATAGATGCAATGGCTAAATGGGCCGACAAATGGTGTGTCAGCATCAACATAGGCAAATGCAGCACCACTCTCTTTACCTTTCTCCTAAACAAAAATCAGGCGCCATGCACATAAATGGAGTACCCCTGAGAGAGGATAAGGAGCCCACATACCTCGGCGTAACGTTTGATGATAGATTAACATGGAGAAAACACATCAACAAGGCAGCAACCAAAGCCAGAAGGAGGGTAGCCATTCTGAGAAAACTAAGTGGAACCACATGGGGTGCTAGCGGGAAAATACATAGAAAAGTTTACCAACAAAGTGTTCGACCACATCTTGAATACGGATCAACAGCATGGAGTTCGGCATCAAAAACCACATTGCAAGAATTAGACAAAGTGCAAAATCAAGCACTCAGAGTTACCACAGGCAGTATGAAATCAACACCTATAGCTGTGATGGAGAAAATGGGGATGACCCAAGCACTAAGTGAACGCAGAGACACCAAGATGCTTTTACAAGCAGAAAAGTTTCTTAGTATGCCCAGTCACCCTATGAATGAAAGATTCAAAAATTTAGCTTTGGGACGACTAAAGAGAAGTAGTTTTATCCACCAGGCCAAACGGCTCGGCAGACAAACCACTGATTTACCTGCAACTGATAGATCCTTAAATGCTGTCCCAGAACGGACCCCCTGGAGAGAGGAGTATAAGTTTCCAATACACATCAAGACTGAAGTGAAAGGGGTATTTGACAAGGAAGAACAAAACAGTGTGCAGCGCAAAACAGCCACCCTCAGTTTACTTGATGATGAATACCCGCAGAACCTTTGGGTCCGTGTTTACACAGATGGGTCAGCAGAAAGTGCAGTCAGAAACGGAGGTGCGGGAGTGTACATTGAGTATCCTAATAATACCAGGGATACAGCCAAATTACCAACGGGAAAGCACTGTCACAACTATGATGCAGAAGTTCAAACCATCAAGATAGCGGTAGAGAAACTACTAAATACAGGGTATTTTTCACAACCAGTGGTATTCCTGACAGATGCAAAAGCAGTACTTCAGTCACTCCAGTCTGGAAAATTACCAAGCATACGGACACTATTATCCGAACTAGGCAACCGCTGTAAATTAGTAATGCAGTGGATACCTTTCCACTGTGGAGTTCCCGGAAACGAAAAAGCTGATAAACTAGCTAAGGAAGGTGCAACTGAAGAACAACCTGACATACCAGTCTCTTATCAACAGAAGAAGAGAATGATCAAATCTATCAGAATGCCACCGAAACTGGCACAAGATGATTACCATATTATGGACAGACCAGAGCAAGTTATTATCCTTCGCCTTAGAACAGGGCACAATAGACTTCGCTCCCACATGTACAACAAATTTAAGATTGGCCAATCGGCCATGTGTACTTGTGGACTGGCACCTGAAACAACAGATCACATCCTTCAAGACTGTCCCATATTCAACGCTTTCAGGCAAAACATTTGGCCAAAAGAGACACTTGTGGAAGTCAAACTTTACGGGCCGCTTAGTGAATTACAAAAGACAGTGAAATTCATACAAGAGACGGCTTTGCAGATATAGACAATTTATTTCATGCGAACGAAAGAAGAAGAAGAAGAAACCTGGCCAGCAGATGGGACTGATGTTTACTTTAAAGACGGAGTGCAGTTTGCACATTAGTATGCCAGATCTGTGAAATGGGTATGCAGCAACTCTCACATCCTGGAACAAGACCACAGTCCAGAAGTGGATGAACAACCGGCGGGACTTATGACATGGTTTACAGCCAGAGAACACGAAGAGAAAGATAACTGATACAGTATTCCCCGTGTTGGTTTGAGGGAAAACAAGAATGGACCTACTGCCTGTCCAAAAGCATGTCGTAAGAGTCAACTAAATGGGAGCTTCCTTCGAAGTCAGAGTACATCTGCCTGAGAGGCAAGGAACCAACAGTCTGCTTGCAAATGAGTTGACCCGTAAAACAGATGTGCACACAACACTCAGTTTCTGGAACAGGACTAGAGTCCAGAAGTGGACGAACATCCAGAATTATCTGCCAGAGTTTAAAGCCGGTAAACGCAAAGAAGAAGAAGATGACTGATTCAGTGTGATGAGCAACTTTCAGCTTGAATTGCAGTGACTGTGAGCAGCTTATGGCTTTCAGTGTTCATATGTTTCAGGTGGCTGGTCTGAAACATGCATTGGTTGTCTCCAGTCCTCTCACTTTATCATCTGTTTTTATGCAGTAGATGTATTTTATATTATTTCGCAAATATGTTGCCTAACTATTTAAGTTGTCCACATACTTCTTTCATTGTCTTCGCTGTCTGTCAGACTGTCGGTCTGTCTCTCTTTCTCTCTCACTCTTTCATTGCATAATTGTCTCACATAAGGCCGATTCAAGTGTTAACAAAGTAAAGACCTAAAGATGATCCAATCATCAGCATGAACTTTGCCAGATGGTACAAACATTCATGTCTTTTCTCAGATCAAGGTCCTTAATGATTGTTTGGATTTATCCTTTTGATAATTATTTCTCTACAAGAACATCTTAGACCATCCAGATTTTTTTCAGAGATTTCATCTTTTCTTGGCTGCCTCTGCCTCTTCATCCACTATCACCCCCCCCCCCCAAAGGGGGGGGGGGGCTTCCACAGCCATTACAGTATTCTCTATTGTCAGTTAAAAACATTTTTTTTTTACTGCAGCATTTATATTAAATTTATGTAAGCTTTAACTTGCATTTTCCCAGAATTAGGTGTAATATATCTGTCCACAGTGTGTTGCTTGGTGCCCCCGATCTGAGCTAAAAAATGTTTTTGCAGTTGCTCAAGCCAACGGTCGTATCAGCATTGTTGGGTATGAACTACACTTGAAATTCTAATATTCAGTTTAATTATTAGAAAGTCTGTTTAATACAGTGCATACTTTTCCACTAGTTTGGTTGTCATAGGTTCACAACCTCATTGAACTGAATTTAAAAAAAGGAAAATGATCTGGACTTTTAGGTCTCTCCGACTATTCTCTTTCAGTACAAAGGAGTTGCTTTTATAAGTTCTTATCTGCCAAAGTTAGAAAAAACAGTAGAATCTCATTTTCCTTACCTTAGGCCTATTGGGCATTTAGGGCTTGACTTGGTACCCATTAAAGGCTGGGTCGAATTGGGAGGCAAGGTCATTTTTGAAAAAAAAAAAAGTTTAGCTCCATCAGGAACTGAACCCACAACCTTCAGATTCATAGGCAAGCACCTAACTGCTACACCGAGGCGGCTCCCTTAAAAAAAAAAAAAAGGAAAGATCCCTTTACACGCCCTTAGGCGCATCAGGCATATGGGAAGAGCACCCATATTATTACAGACCAATCGGCACTCGGTGGGTAATGTGGTCAGCATTACGCCGGCCGTCTTTACTTTCCCAGGACAGCCCATCCTGGTACCCATTTAAGGCTGGGTCGACCTGCGACGTACCATACCACGATAAAAATCCACGCAGCCCACACGGCGGCTCCCTTACTGTAATTTATTTAAATGCCAATATGCCCCTTATATGCCAAAGAGTTGAGATTTAAAGAAATACCTATTTAGGTCAGCTGCAGTGAGGGTTATGGCTGCTTCCAATATCGAGCAAAGAATGCTAATACTTCTGTTCTAAGGGCTGGTCCTTCCCCCATTGAATATACCCTGGCCATCCTCACTGTCAGTGCTACACAGATTGAATGACTTGAAAAAGTGAAAAAGGAAGCCTTGCTCATAATTGTTAGATGTACAAGAGACACTTTCTGTGTAGCAGTGAGATATCTATTTGACTTTTCAACCATGAACCAAAGGATCAGGATCTAGAGGGCTGGGTCATACCTTAAAATACATGCTGATATGAAACACCCACTGCATCAAGCACTTTTCAGTGAAAAGGGTGACAAGCTGAAGAGGGGAAAATCGTTTCTAGGTTGGGCAGAAGATGTTATCAAGAACATGAGCTTTCTAACCTACACCTCTCCTGGTGCAGAGTGGATACCCATGCCTCATGCTTTTATTTATACATTTTCACGTATTGCCACAGTCAGCAGGTGATGCAGGAAGCAGAATCCCATTGCTGTAAATGCAGAGATCAACGCTCTCATCAGTGAAAATTCATACGAGGCAGATGTACTAATCTACACAGACCTGTTATACGCCAACAAAGAAGCGCCTGGACGTTCACAGCATGCTGAGTGGGCAGAATAGTCAAAGAAGCCAATGACACCTTCTGCGTGAAAACCAGCAGCATGACGATGAAGGTGATGGCAATAACGCAAGCGTTCACTTGGCTTGAAACACAAAACTACACCTGCGCACGCAAATTCAGTGATTCAGTCAGTATGACCCGGAGGGTTCAATCAGGTTCAGTGCGAAGGCAATGGCTTGAATCATTACAGAAGTCCGCTGTGCATGAAGTCACCTTTATTTTTGTTCCTGGATATGCAAGCGTCAATGGAAATGAAAGAGCTGATTGGTTTCCTGGATCTGCTATCTGGCGGTCAGCCTATGGATAATGCTGCTATTATTAAAGCCCTCAGAGAAATGGGAAGGGTGGAGGACTTTGAGGGTAGTGAATCCACATCACACACCAGAATAATAGACGGAAGGCATTAAAAAAACGAGACGCACACCAGGCACATCAAAGGACTTGTTAATCAACATAGAACTGGTACTATTAGCCATCAGATGCTTGGTTTCATACTGAGGGGAGGATCTGAGCACCTTTGGACATGTCCGGAGTGCAATGATGATAACCCTACTAACTAATTAAGTAACTTATTTAGGTTTACAGGAGGTCGGCAGAGACACTATGGGACATAAGTGGTTACAATAACAATTTAAATACAATTGGTTACTATAACGATTATATATGTTTGAAGACGGCAAAAAATTATATTATTAGCTCCATTCAGTGATGAAAACCTCTGCCTTGAAAAGGATTTGAACACATGACTATAAGTACAGCTGCAGGGTGCTAACTACTGCATTACCACGGCTTTATTACTGTGGCAGACAAATGACTGTTGACTACTTTCTACAGAACTGTACTGTAAACTATGATTAGAGGAAATGCATTTGGCTATCACCAGGAATATGTCCAGAAAAACTGTATGACAGTCTGAGAACATTTCATGCATTGTTATATTTCTTGTTGACATTCACTTTGATAGGTGAAATTATCTTGAAGTTTTTGTGCATTATTTTCCTATAGTTTTGAAAGATTAGATTTATGCCCCACTGTTGAGGCAGATTGCATATTATTTACATGTGTTTCTCCTTATCTGTGCTGGAATGTGCAGATGCTTTACAATAGTTAATTTTTTTTTTTTTAAATTCAATTTTCTGCATTTTGTTTTTTAAATGTAGAAGCCATGGTTCATGGGTGATGAGACTATATTTCCATAGTATAGAACTGTGCTGCAAAAGATGTCTGCAGTGGAGAACCTTTTATGACAAATATATTTGTTTTCTACAAGAGGAACATTGAGTTCATTGTGATTATTTTCACTTGATAATTTCCAGGTTTGGTAACTCACGAAATGAAGATTTAGTTGGAAAAGAGTTCAGTAAGTGACATTTCACATAGACATTTTTTTTAGTTAGTTAGTTAATTGACTGATTATCCTCATTGCGCATCAGGTATGTCCATAAGCGCTCAGATCCAATCTTCGGTTTATTCTTGAGTGTGTTGCGACTGATAACACCAGTTCTGTGTTGGTTTACTATTCTTCTTTGTCCACCTGTATAGTGTTTATGTTTGGCCAAACCTCTTTTGACTTGAAGTTCTTGTGGTCTTTTAATGTTACCGATTCCATCCATCCATTTATCAAAAACAATACAAAAAATTGACCACATTAATCCTGTTTTGAGCAGTATCAGTTATAATTGTGTCTGGTTTCTTTTTGCCAGTTTTGTTGGTTTAAGAAATGTTAATTGCTCTAAAACTAGTGGCTTGGAGCAATACTCTAAAGAAGGGTTTTTGGGGAGGAGACTGATATGCACTAAACACAACTACATACACGTATATAGACATACATATACACACACACACACATATATATATTTACATATATATACACACACTAACATGTATGTCTGCAGACCCACGCGTGAATGCACGCATTCGCGTTAGCATATACAGGCATGCATATAAATATACACATGCATGCATGTCAACACGGGAATCCATGCACACGCGTTTGCATACACATACAGCCAGTCTCAGAGCTTGTATTATAGGATCGGCCCATTTGTCTTTTTAGTTATTTTGCAGTTTGGCTAATAGATTGGCCGAGTTTCATCTCCAGAGTGTTAATCATCGTCATCATCATCATGTTGTTATACATCATATAGGACTTGCAGTCTGTTCTTCCTTTCCATTCTGTCCTGAGCAGTTATTTCAGTATCATTGATTGAATCCAGTCTAGCATCTTTGGCCTCTGTCATCAGTGTTTAAAATAGGGTTTCTTTTGGACCTCCTCATGTATTTAATGGTCCCATTTTATTGCTTTATTGTTAATAAGTGTCATAGTTTTTAAGAGGTTCACATTTAATGTGACTGATTATGGTACAAATATTTGTCGACATCTATGGCGATTGTGCGGACTGGCTTGTGTTGTTTTAAGCTGTGGTTTTGAGAACTGTCTGTTTGGAAAGCAGTGACAAACTACTGAATGAGAATTCCTAGTGAAATCACAAACAGCCAGAAAAATGCTGGGGTTGCTTCTGCAACATTCTGTGAAGGATATGCAGCTAACTCTTCCCCCCCCCCCCCCCCCCCCCCCCCCCCCCCCCCCCGGGATAAAGTTCAAAAGTCAGAGGTGAATGGGTGAATATACAATTGCCTAGTAGAACTAGACTACAGTCAGTAAGCCCTGGGCTTGGTTTGCAACATCCTGAAAAAGGACATGCAGTTGATTTTGTCTATTAAACCATTCCATCTATCCCAGATTGTAGATAGAATTCAGTCCAGCACCTTCGGCTTTTCTCATCAGTGTTAAAATTAGGGTTTCTTTTGGACCTTCTCACCTCCTCCTGTATTTATTAGTGCTATTTTTTTTGCAGAATTTTTAGTTAGTCATATTTTTTTTTTTTAGAGAGGTTATTGAAATTCAGTCTGACTGATTATTATGGTACCAATATTTTATTGGCATTTTGGTTCTCTGTTGCCTTGTAGTTCGACAGAAGTCAAAAGATGGATGGCCATAGCAATTCAAAGATTAAACAGTATTAAAATTCTGCGGTTAAGCACCAGCAAGGAAATTAAAGTTAAAATTTTGTGAGCATGCATCTTCCCTGTAGCAGTATATGGATGGGAGTCGTGGACTATCTCCAAGTCCTATAGAAAGAAAATAGGAGCTTTTGAGCTGAAATGCTATAGAAAGATTCTCAGAATACCATGGACAAAGAAGAGAAGAAATACTGACATTTTAAAAGATCTGAACATCAAGGAAGATTGGCTAATAAACAGCATCTTATCTCAAAAGCTGAAATATTTTGGTGATATCAAGCGCCATGGAGGATTGGGCGGAAAGCCTGATACCAGGAAGGAGGGGCAGGGGCTGACCCACATGAAGATCGGCACAGGATATACGTGACTCCTTGAATATGAAAGTACACAAGACAGGAGAGCTGGCAAAAGACCGAGTTTCTTTCAGGCAGGCCGTAATGAGAGTGATATTCTGCAAAGGACCTGCTACATGATGATGATTGCCTTGTAGATATTGAAAGCTTAGAATTGTATCTAGTTAAATGAATATAATTTTTAATGTAGTTGGCCTGCATGTCATATTCCCTTTGCCTCTTTTTAAAATGTATATTTCAAAAACCATTGCTGCTTCAGCTGGCAGTTTCATATGTTTTATATGAATTATGTGTGAAATATCTTCGTGATTATATTTTTTTTAAATACCAATGTTTTTTCCTTCTGTTTAATTTTTCTTTCAATGAATGAAGTGAGAGTTGATATCACAGCTCTCATGTCATTCTTATTCTTGCAACATTTTGTGATAAATAGTCAGGCTTGAGTTATACAGTCCCATAATTGTATTTTTCATAGATGCACGCTTCAACCGTCAGTGTAATTTTCTGGCTTGGAATCCACTGGAGACCAATTTGGTAAGCTTATAATAATTTGTTAACATTTTTTAAAGTTAATATTTCCCATTTTAAATTAAATAAACCATAATATATAAAAAAAAAGTGGTGGATAAATTGTAAAGAAATACAAAATAACATTTAAATATGACACTCATAGCATGGCTTGTAGTTACTTTTGTCTCAAATGCAAAATAAAATATTCACTGTAATTTATTCAACTGTCAGTCGGTCAGTCAGGTGCTGTCTGCACAATCAAGGTTGGCTGCATTCAATATACAAAACTCTCTTGGTTTTGCACTCTGTCAATCTTCTGTTGATCTATCTCTTGATGCTTCCATCCACTTGCATCACTTTTTACCTTTTGTTTGCCTGCTTTAAACTATTACCTCCAGTATGAATTTTTAAAGTGTCACCTTTCACCTAGCAACTAATATACCAAGTTTACAAGTACCACTGCCCCTAAAAAGCATGTCATAGGAGGCGACTAATTAGGGGTGTTTCCTTCAAAGTCGGAGCACATCTGCCTGAGAGGCGAGGAGCCAAGAGCCTGCATTTAAATAGGCCAAATTTGTAAAGCGGATATATTACAAGCAAAACTCAGGTTTTGAAACAAGACCAAAGTCGAGAAATGGGCGAACAGGCAGAACTTTACACAGGAGTTTACAGCCGGTAAATGCTAAGAGGAAGAAGCAGAGAAAATCAGATAGTTATATTTTTTTTTTGAAACACGGTTATACAGTTATTTTTTGGTCTACCAAATAACCTTTGCAGTTGGCTCAAGGTCTTGAGAGAAGCAGAAGTGAGCCTTGCGTTCTGATTTGGGATGTGATGAGTAACCCAGGCACTGACTCAACTGAGAGGACTAGGCACAGTTTCACTGAAGGTCCTATTACAAAAGCCTATGCTGAACTTGGTTAGTGCTTTTTTCTGTTTTATGCAAGTTAAATTATTAAGCTATTATGAAAGAACTGAAGGCAAAGGGCCTGGTATTTCTGTTTATTACATCTTCGATCGTTCTTGGTTTTTCTGTCCATTTTGCAATGACATTTTGAGCTGTGATATTTGTTTTCTTAACTCCTGCTTAGTATTACAATTTGTTTAAATCCCCAAGAATTCATTAAATTGTACCAGGATGGTAAAAGAAGGAGAGAGAGAATGAAAAAGTGTGAAAGGGTTAAAAAGAGAGAAGAAAATGAGAAGACACTAAGAAGTTAAATTTCATTTTTATGTGGGGAGAGTAGTAATTAATCTGTACCCCAGACAATCAGGTAATAAGTCAGTGGAGGCATAAGAGATAGTAGCAGTGGTAACACTGACACAATAAATGCAGCAACCAACAGTTAACAAGACCACAGTATGTATGTTTAAATGACTAACAATGCAATAAAAGTATAATGACTAGAACAACATTTATTGCAGAAAAGAATTACAAAGCTTAATGTAACTTGACCTGCAAAAACTGATCATTTTGCAGAACATGACATAATCTGCCACCAAAATTACTATGAAGACTGTGATTACTACAGCCTGTCGTTAAATACAGTTGATAACACTCGGGTTCTGGAACAAGTCTGAATTCCAGAGGTGGATGAACAACCAGAACATTCCTCTAGAGTTTACAGCCAGTGAACGGAGAGAAGAAGAAGAAGATCCGATCTAGCCTACAGTTACTGCTAAGATTTACTGTTTTATACAGCTTACAGAAGACAGTGTAGTTTGCTAACAACTCAACAGGCTCAACTATGACTAAAATATACTAACTATCAGTAACCAGCATTTAGGAGTTATGAGTTAAAAACTGACATCATAGCACTTGGGACATTTCCATAAGTCCTCTGTCCCCATTTTCAGCAGCAGGTGCAAAGTATCTATTCTGATGGTACCAGTAACGGTCATTGTATATCTGTCTCATCCCTCTCCTGAGTGTTGAGTGTCGGCCAGATGCCCCGGTCACTCTTGACTGCACCATTCTCTTCATACCATAATGATCTGTTTGTGCCTGTGCACTGTTTAAGTGCTCCCAAAGGGCCCTTACAGCATCTGGCTTATCATGCATTAGTTTACCACGAACTTGTGCAGAACCATCCAGTCTATCTGTCGTTTATTTCCCAAAACACCAGCATTAACCAGCATGTGGTATTACCCGTAACCAGTTAGCACACATTTCTAATTATCAGCTAACTAATAAAATATAGAATGTCCAACCTAGCCACTAGCAGTCTACGAACTGGCCACATCCCGGTGACCCTGACTTAAACTGCAACATAACCTGTGAAATACGTGAACAGCATATCATTACATAAATTATAAGCATAATATACTCTCTTTCGTCTGCATATAAACATTTAACATGCACACCTCTTTCTTACATACTCAGACAACAGCATATATTCATGTTACAAACACGCATGCTGATACTTTTCTATAACCCCCGTAATCTAATAATTTGTATGCTCATCACACTATATACTCACAATCAACAAAGCACAGCTAACACAGTGTATAATTAAATTTACAGCTATTCACTTGGGACCTTATGACCTGAATGTCTATAATTTTCCTCTTCTCTTACAGACCCTAGTTCATCTTATGTCACCAGTTCAGCTATAGGGCCTCCACATGCTCAGGTGAAACCTTATATTGAGCCCCCATTCCTGCCCTGGCCGTCAGTTGACTCTGTTGTTACTTGATTATTAGACCCCTGTTGGTGGTTTCTTTCACCGTGCTCTTCTTCAGATCACACCCTGTTCCAGCAAACATTATCAACTTATTTGTGTACTTAAACATTGTATTAACACACATTTTTTTTCCTACCTTGGCTTTATCTTTGTCATGCTGTTCAGTTAGACAGGTCGTATGCCACAGTTATACCAAATAATCATCATCATAAAATGTTGTGTCAGCAACTCAGTGGCTAATATTCACCGTCTGTCTAGATCTAACACAGCATTAATAATTGTACACACACTTTATTCTGCCATGTCTCTGAACTAGCAACATCTCATCAGTCGGGTTCCATTCCTGTGTCATGTATCGCAGAGGAGCCCTATAATCTTCATTAGGGTAACCTTACATCATTGACTACTGCTTTTTTCTATGCTCATTGTTCAAACTGTCTTGTATCTAAACTCACGGTCATGGATATTCCTACTACCTCCATTTGTTTGTGTTATTTGGATTTTCTCGGGGGCTATAGCTATATTATATATTCTATATTATTCTATGCTATATTATTCTTTCTTCTTTATCTCTTTCACCTTTTTCCGTGTCTTTCTCACTCTTTCTTTCAGGATATGCCTGTCATAAAACTCTTCTTCAGGTCCATACCATGTGTTGTTGTAGTCATGTCTATCCAAAATTTTTTGTCTCGTGTACTTTCAGTCAGCTCTGATACAGATGATCCTCCATGACATGAGGTCAGACTGTTCGGCATCTTTTCTCTGTGTCTCCCCATGCCTCTCTTCCCCTCCAACTTTCCTACTGTCACCTTTTACTCATTTTTTTCTCCTTCTCATGACATGACTAAAGAATGTAGATTGTCTCTTTCTGATGTGTGAAATCAGTTCTCTTCGTGAGTCTTTCTTTCAAGGCATCTTCGTTACTCTTTTTATCTGTCCAGGGTATTTTCATCATTCGTCTGTAAAACCACGTCTTCACAAATAATTGTTCACTAATCTACCAACTATCCATGATTCACTTCCAAATATCAAGATAGGAATTATGTAGCTTTTTTATCTCAATTGACAAAGAACAATTGCATAAAATATTCCTCGTTTTGTAAAAAGTTGCCTTTGATTTAGCTTTTCTACTTTTAACTTTTTTAATACATCTTCCATTTGATGTTAGTAGAATGCCCATGTACTTAAACATATCAACTTGTTTGTGGTTTGTCTAATTTGTCATAGAATTATAAAGTAATATATAGCATTTGCAAACTGTTGCATTGCACTAACGTATGCAAAACAGGGATTCATTTAATTTTGTTTCTGATAATTATATCATTGTTGAATTACTTAACTAAGTTTTCATCATTATTTCCTGGCGTAAGTGTACACCTGAGCTATTTGTTGCTTTGTGTGTGTGTGACTTTTGTAGGTTCTGGAGAGACCAGTGCATCCTTTGCTTGGTTTCCAAATGATCCTAAAACATTTGTGGTTGGCATGGCTCATAAACATCTCAGAGTTTACGATCTCAGAGGTAAGCAAATTAAATTTATATCATAATTTTATTATGTTTAATTATATTAAGCAGGTAGTTTTTAACTTACCATAATTTAAAGCTCATTTAGTCGTCTACTTTTAATGTAGCCATTTTTTATCTCAACATCCAAAATTTGACTTAAATATAATTGTTTTAGTCTTAAACCTTAACTGGAACCCTAAATTAGAATGAGGACTGGGCAGTGTCCTTGGAAGTAGAAGCGGCTGGCGTGATGTTGACCATCTCACCTACTGAGTGCCAATCAATCCATACAATTATAGGTCTAGCACAATATTCCTAATGTTCCAAAGGCATGAAAGGGGTCCTTCACTTTATTACCAGGAACTAAAAAAAGGAAGCATTGAGGTATTAAAAAAAAAATTGACTTAGACTCCTATGTTGACTAAGTCTTAAACTGATACCAGAAAACATTCTAGGAAGTACAGGCAGCTAGTGTGATACTGTCCCATATCACCTGCTATGTACACATAGGTCTATACAATTATGGGGCTGTCACTGAATGCCAAATACGCTCAAAGGTGTGGAAGTGTGTCCTTTAATAATTTATTTCTTTAGAGTCATCAGCATGTTTCAAGAAAGCTAATGGCTTCAGCTGGTAAAAGAAAGTGTCCTAACTATGTTTACAGAGAGAAGAAAATATGAAGCAGCATTAAAAGTTACAGATTTTCCAAAAACATTTATTTGAAATATTTTTGACAGTAAAAGTGAGAGTTGAAAAAAAAAAAGATGGTTTTCTACTCTGTTTTCTATGCTCATGAGGTCTTGCTACTGACGAACTTTTCTTCGTCAGGTTCACTGGTTGTAAACTCCGGCAGAAAGTTCTAGTTGTCGTCTGCTTCTGGATTTTGGTCTTCTTCTAGAACCTGAGCTTTTTTTGTGCACATCCTTTCACAGATCTGGCTTATTTATGTGCAGATTGTTAGTTCTTCACCTCTCAGGCAGATGCACTCTGACCTCAAATGCAACAGCCAAAATTAGTTGCCTTTTACAACATGCTTGTTAGGGTTGCACTGGGTCTGTTTCTTTGCCCTCCTTAATTGGGGCCCCAGGACCGACACAGAAAAAAGCAGCAGTGACAATTTTTTTTTTATATACAAAAACATTTTTGCTTGAAATATTGTTAAACATTAAAAGTAAAGATATGTCATATTCTGTTTCTTAAGTTCATGGTTTTCTTGGTAGTCTCAGCACTGAAGTTGCCAGGCTGTTTGGCTCACACTGTTTTCATATTTAAAAGGGCAGTGGGTGTTTTTTTAAATTGTGGTTTACAGCTAGTCTGTAGTATCTTAACCCTTTCGCTGCTACGTTCCTGGCCATAGCTGTCTGTCCTGTGCTAATCAGTGTGGGAAAAAAAGCATCTGCTAGGCGCAATACTTTTCTATCCTCTAAATGCAAAAGATGCGTTTGCGGTGAAGGCTATATTTTTGTACACCTAAAAGTTTTACCCTAGGGGTAGCAGCGTACGGGAAAACGGGAAAAGACGTCCATAGCAGCGAAAGGGTTAAATGTCATCTTTTAGCCCACACATCCAGTTTCAGCAAATTCTCAGTTACTTGCTTTTCAGGACATACTTTGTATGGGAGTTTTTTTTTTTTTTTTTTAATGGACCATAGAACCCACACGAAGAGCCTCGCGAGTTACTTTGATGGACTGCCACTTTCTGTTTGCAAGTGCAGTTTTTACGGAGATCCCTGAGGATTGTCCCTGAAGCTACAGATTTCATGATTTATGCAATGCTTATGGCAGGGGACTAGCAGTTCTGCAGAGAAAGTCCAAGCTATATGGTATCAAACCTAGTGCGATGCTGTGGATTCTCTTGATTAAAAAAATAAGTTTACTAAGTTCTTCTTCTTTATGTTTACCGGCTGTAACTCCTACATAAAGTTCTGATTGTTCTCGCGCCTCTGGACTTGAGTCTTGTTTCAGAACCTGGGTGTTGCTTGCACATCCGTTCTACATATCTGACTTATTTGTATGCAGATTGTTGGTTCTTTGCCTCTCAAGCAGATGCACTCCGACTTCAAAGCAATCCCCAAATTAGTCAATGTTTAAGATATGCTTGTTGGAGAGGCAGTGGGTCTGTTCTTGTTTTCCCCACATGAGGTCCCAAAACCCATATGGGGAGTCCAAAGTTCATTTACAAACTATAATATGTTGCTTTCTTGTAGATGTCAACAAGCCACGTTTGGAAGCTCACCACAGATGTGTGGCCGGTGTTTGCATTGAGCGCTTTGAAAACTACAGGCTGGCATCTTACATGGAAGTATGGCTTCATATGCTTGTAGCAAATTTTCTAGTCTGATTATTCCACCATTATTGATGCTACTGCAGACATTTTGTATTCTGTAAAAGAGAATATGAAAGCAGTGTTTCTCTGTTGTGAATTTGAACAAAGAAGACACAAAGAATAGATTATACAATCTATCTGTCACCTGGTGTGCATCTTCTCAAGTGCATATTCTGGTAAAACAGGCAGGTGTAGTTGATTGTGCTAGTAAATAAAGTAAAGAACCTTTTTGCTTACCTTCAGGTGTATTGGACATATAGCACTGGAACTATGTTTTTATAGACCAGTTAGCTCTCGGTGTGTGTGGGGGGGGGGGGGGGGTTCAAAAATAATGCCGTCGTCTTTACTTCCTTGGGTTTTACCTGGTACCCACTTAAGGCTGGGTCAACCTGGGAGCCAAGGTTATTTTGAAAAGACTGGCTCTATTTGAATTTAAATCTACGACCTTCCTATTTCCTATTCACTGGTGATCGTGTAGCTGCTTCATAATATTCAGTATTTATTATAGTGTGCACCTAATGAGATTCAAGGGAATAATTGAGGGATGGAAGACATTATATCTGGCATCATATTCAAACAGTGAACAGATTTGTTTGAATTTTAAAGTTTGTACAGTGTTTTGGGAATGTAATGGCCTAGGTAAATTTTTTTTTTAAATGTTTATCTGATCTTCATTGACTATTGGAACAAAAATTTGATATTTATTCATGAGTCGTTAAGGAAATTCTTGGGTAAATAGGTACCAGAGACAGAGATGAAAAATTAATAAGAAACCTAATATTGGGAGCAAAAGAAACATCAAGATCATTACCTTTTGTAGATATACAAAATATATGAAATAGCTGTATGGAGGTAAAAGTGGGAGGATAGTTTGCAAGATTAAGATAGTGTTTTATGTGGGAGGAGGTTCTCGGGAGATGAGCTTGAAGTGCACTGTTAAGATACCGGACAGCGAGTGTCGGAGATTGACTATATTAGTAATCAGTGTGGAGGTGGCTTATGTTGATACTGGTGCAGTGATTAATCCATAGGGTTAATATCAATGTAGGCCTAGTTCAGATCCATACAGTGCCAGAATGTTTTTGCTTTTTCCTGAACTAGTATGACTGAGTTTGAGCAAAGCTCTTAAAAAAGAAACTCTATAAAGTTCAGAACCTTCTTTCAAGTATCTGGGAAGTAAATGCATAAAAAGGTGAATATAGGTCACCCCACATCTTTATGTTAGCACCGTGCCTATGTTAAGACTGAATAATTCACACCATTTAGGTTTTTTAGTATCTGCTTTTGTATTATCTTTGGTTATAATGTAGTTTTTGTGTAATTCCTGTCAGTTTATTGGTAAGTTCTCAGTTCACACCTTGTGCAGCTTTAAATTATGTTACTGCACTATAAATTGTATGCACTTTACCATATTTAAGGTCATGTGTTGCTTTTGTATTTTCTTTTGCCAGTCACAAGTGGCAATATGGGATCTGAGAAGTTTTGATAGACCTGTATCCTTGAAAGTAACATTTACATATTTCATATCTCGTACTGGAATTATCACTGTTGTTTTGAATAATTATGTGATGTTGATAACACCCATAACTTGTAAATAAGACATGCACAATAGATTGTATGAGACATCTTTGTGAACCAGTATTTGCTGGCATTTACTATTGATAGTGGCTGATACAGTATTTCAGTTAGAAGAATTAATTTGTTTGCTTCACTATATATTCAACCGTTACCATTGTATGCACCTAATGAGACAGAGCGAAATATGCGAGGCAATAAATTGTACAGTCTGCTGTTTGAGTTTTTTTAATACTATTGCTTTGAATACTTATAACATTTGAAAGTGCCTTATCACAGAACATGACAGAAACATTAGTCAGTAAATTGCATACCTTATTTAACCTTTTCAGTCCCTTGCGTGTTTCCTTTTACTCATTATGTCGTTACATGTTGTTATTTTAACTTATAAATGTTTAGGCTTTAAGAAATTAAAATTCCAACACCACTAGACCAAAGGAGTTAAGGCAAGATGGTTAATGTAGCACCTTGGTGGAGCATAGAGAGTTAAGAAAAGTAGATCATTGTGGTAGAAATAAATAAACGCATGATGAGTTGTTTGGTATCAAAAGAAAAGCTTTCTGTACCAAAAATAAAGACTGAAATGACTATGACAAATCATAGATGTGAATTTAATGAAGAAAAATAAATGCATTCTAGTGAAACAACAACTGAAAAAATAGTAGCTAGATCACACACTGAGAGGCAACCAATTTATAGCATAACTAGAATTTCATTCCTCTTGAAACAAAAAAGCAAAATAAATACAGGTAGACCAAAACGCAAATTATAAACAAGAATACTAAAATAGACGTTAGAAGTATGGGAAATACTGCAAGTAGCAAAGGATAGGGTGACGGTATGACATATTTAGAGTTGTGCTGTATTGGTCCCAAACAGCTCCACGTGAAGTTCTGGATCAGATAATATTATTTTCCGGCTGGCTTCTATTACAGAAGAATATTATATAATTCCTTATTGTCTAAATTACTGGTTTAACCTCTTATGTCTCAAAGTATCTATGCTGAACTCCTGAGGGCTAAAGTATTTACTGCTTTTAGGTTAAACACTTTGGGATAGAAGGAGTTAAAGTAACAACTGCTTGAGATTAAAAGAGTTAAGTGTATCATTTATCTGTCTGCAGTTATACCATTTGTAACACTGCTGTCATTATAAGTAATAAGTTCTACTTTTCATCTGATCATCAGGATGAAAATCTAATCACTGTCACATCTAACCAAAATTGTTCTTCTGGTGCTAAAACTTCCATGGTTCACATACAAGTTCTTGATCATTTTAATATGTAAATTTTACTGAATGGTTGAGACCAGTGTTCAGTCCATGGTAAGGGATAGGGGTTTTTATATTGGGGCAAAAATAAAAATCATAATCTGCACAGTCCATGATGCTGCACTAGTACCATGGTCCTGAATTATCAGGTTCGTGAAAATCATAATCTGCACAGTTCATGATGCTGCACTAATCCCGTGGTTCTGAATTATCAGGTTTGGGAAAATCATAATCTGCACAGTTCATGATGCTGCACTAGTCCCGTGTTTCTGAATTATCAGGTTTGGGAAAATCATAATCTGCACAGTTCATGATGCTGCACTAGTCCCGTGGTTCTGAATTATCAGGTTTGGGAAAATCATAATCTGCACAGTTCATGATGCTGCACTAGTCCCGTGGTCCTGAATTATCAGGTTTGGGAAAATCATAATCTGCACAATTCATGATGCTGCACTAGTCCCGTGGTCCTGAATTATCAGGTTCGGGAAAATCATAATCTGCACAGTTCATGATGCTGCACTAGTCCCGTGGTCCTGAATTATCAGGTTCGGGAAAATCATAATCTGCACAGTTCATGATGCTGCACTAGTCCTGTGGTCCTGAATTATCAGGTTCGGGAAAATCATAATCTGCACAGTTCATGATGTTGCGCTAGTCCCGTGGTCCTGAATTATCAGGTTTGGGAAAATCATAATCTGCACAGTTCATGATGTTGCGCTAGTCCCGTGGTCCTGAATTATTAGGTTCATGATCGTTGTGTCCTATACACTTCCTAAACAGTGGTACATACAGGCAGTAGCAACTTTGTTAAAAAATGGTTTTAGTGAATGTGTTTTAATCTCATGATTTGTTCAACTTAACAAAGGCAAGATCAACATAATTACAGAAAACAAGAATGTGACTAAGCTAAGCTGGTGTCCAACAAAGTAAGTACTAATCTTACTATACACAACTTTTTCTGTGTTGCACAGTTTTGTAATTATTCCATAAATTGTCATGTTTAACTTTACATCTTGTTGCAGCTGCTTTTTTTCTTTTTCCCAAAACGAAATTATATATTCTCATGTGCTGAATATTGAGAATAATTACCCAGTTTCCAGACTGCCTCTGAGTTGGAGATGCTGTGGGAGTGAGGAGTCAAATTGCTGTTCTGACATTCCCCCTTCCCCCCCACAAGATCTCTAAAATATTGCACTTGTTAACTGAATAAACTGAACTAACCCACAACCTTGGAGCACAAATATCTTGACCTCTGAGACCCATTTTGGACTATCCTCAATTTTTTTTTTTTAATAGATAGTTTAGACTAGCAGTTCCCAAACAGTGCTCGGCGGTGCCCTTATGGCTCTGCATGCACTGTCCAGGGGCCCCAGGGCCACTCTGGAAATATTTGTTAAAATTTGATTGAACTTAAAGATTAAAGAAACAAAAAATAGCAAAGAGGCTGCCCCAGAAAAATTGATTCAAACAGGGCTTCATGCTCTGAAACACTGAGTTGGGAAACACTGGTTTAGATAAACAGAACAGTTAACACCAGTTAGTTATCAACACCTGGCAAGGTAATTTTTAAACATATTAAACCAGTAGTAAATGTTACGCAAACGTAAGGCATTTCTGTGAAATTTATATGTTAAAGGTGTTTTATTTTTCTTTTTTAAAGGATGAAATTGTATTCTTCACATTTTTATTTATTTTTAATTGTGATTATAATCACTTGGGGCATTTAAGAAAAAGGGGGCGGGAAAGGACCTTTTTATACCAGTGGGCATGTGATGCTAGACTCATGTTTAAGACCTTTCGGCCTTCAACTTGTGATGTGGTCACCGTCACACCAGTTGCCTTTACTTCCCAGGACATCTTGTGCTGATTTTATATGGGCTGAGCCTCATTTCTATATAGCTCAGTAAGCATTTTTGTTGATTTATATCTGAAGAAATTTTGTAATTGCGTCAATTTCTATTGTTATTGAAGTTGCTCGGATCGTCTATTTCTTAATTCTTCTTTGTTATTGCAGAATCAGTGTTCTTTCAGTCCTCAGCAAAGATAGTTCCAGTGTCAGACTCCATGATATTCGCAATTCTTTGTTTGGTTCTGATGAAATTGAACATGCTTCTATTGAGCGCAATATTCAACGTTAGTATCATTGTTAACTGTCATAGTTAATTAAATCATGATTGTTGACATTTATCTAGTTTAATCATATGACATGTTTATCTTTACAAAGTTTAATCACACAATTATTTTTGAAGCGCCCCATTTGGAACACTTTGAAAAAAAATAATTAAACATGGGCATTTGAAAGAGAAGTTAATGGAGATCCATGTAGCAAGAGAGATCAATATGCTTTGAAAGTAGCACCTGTAGGTTTGCCATTACTTTCTGAATGATTGTCACTCCATAACAGTAGAGAAATCAACACAAAGCTGTCTGTTACTAAATCATTTGCAGCTGGAATCGAACCGGTTATTTCAGAATTACAAAAGCACATTAGTGACGCCTAAGCCACAGACACCAACTGAACAAAGTTAACATAAATAAAAATGATGTAACTAAAGAATAATGGAAGACACATTAAATTAGAGTGAAATAAAGAGTGGGGGGAGGGAGGGAGAAAATGATAAAATGCTGTATGCATACTCTCAGTTGGTTGAGGTGGGTCGTGATCTTCATAATCTGTAAACGTCATTATTACAAATTGTCATTGAAAAATATAGAACATACTTAATAGGCTATATTTTTTTCATGTTGTGAAAAGCATAAATATGTAGGTTACAGGCAATGTTATCATATTTTATACAGTTATTATGCAACCGGAGACAAGTTCTTTGGTCATGTGATGAGAAAAGGAGCACTGGAAAATATCGTGACGATTGGGAAGATCACTGGTAGAAGAGGCAGAGACAGACCAAGAGAAATGATGGTGCATGGCTTAAGACAGTGCTATGGATGAATATTATCTTTGGAATTGATCCACAACACTAAAGACAGAGATCTGCAGAGATGCATTAATGCCTACGCCAGGGGGCAAGGCACTTGGTGATGATAATATTGCATCTGTGTCAGCATTTGAGGCTTAGGCATTGCAAATGTGACTTGTAATTGTGAGATATCCAGTTTGATTCCAGCTGCGGGCAGTTTGGCAGCAGACTGTTTTGCATTGATTTTTGACAGTAGTATCGAGAACCAACTGTTCAGAAAGTAATGGCAAACTGCTGAACTTAAAGTCGCCTAGTAAAATCATGAACAGACAAACAATGCTAGGGTTGGTTCTGCAGTATTTTGTCAAGGCTACACAACTAGCATTTTGTATACATCTGTGTGTATTATGTGCTTCCATTTGTGTGTTTTTATTATGGAGGATATGCCTTCTGTGTGTGTTTTTTTTATTTTATTTATGTCTATTTGCATATAAGATGGAGATTTGTTATTTTCTGTATATTTAAAATATGCTTGATAACTGATCAAATGAGATAAATTTTACAATCTTCTTTTTATGCAGCATTTGGCAAGACTCATCTCTCCTCCTTTGCTTGGCACCCTCGGCATGAGAACAGACTTTTGGGTGTGCTACCTAATGGTTCTATCAGAGATATGACAGTGTCCGAACGCATTCCTATGGTATTTACTTTGTTGTTGCTTATATCATTAAATTCATCATCATTTTGTTTTTGTATTTAAGATTGTTAAGTAGGTGTTTCTGTTGCAAAGTGGTCAAGCCATTTGCCTTTATGCTTTGAGGGGAGGGGGTCCGTTTCATGGATTGTGTTATTTATTTCACGAATGCGATTTTTATCAAGATCCCTAGGGATCATCACATAAATTGACTAGGCAAAAATTATTGCTGTCATGTTTACAAAATAATAAATAAAAGATAGTATATTCCTTAATCTTGGTATTAGTGTTAGTAACCATGGAAATGAGATGTCAGAGAAGGGCCACAGGAGTGACCAGAAAAGATCTGATCAGAAATGCGGGAAAAGTCACCACAGAACCAATTTTGAATTTCATACAAATACAACAAATCAAATGGTTTGTCCACTTAGAGGGAATGCTTTGCGATGCCAAACCATAAAAAAGCATACACCAAAATAGGAGAACGATGTAGAGAACAAGGTAGACCAAAAACTGGATAGGAAGATAACATCAGAGAAACTGTACAACAGTATGATGTGTCTATTGTCGAGGCGGCCAGAAAAGCCAGAAGCAGAACCTTATATCCCCCCTCAACACCCAAAGCCGCAAAATAGGAAGTGAAGAAGAAGAATCTGGATATTGGATTGGATGTCTAGCTTTAGTTGACAATGGTAATGTAGTAGCTGCATGTGTTGTTTAAACAGTCTAAAATAAGCTGGATATAATGCTGCCCATGCTAGATCACAGAATTGAAAGTTTCACCTACAAACAGAAAATTGTTTAGGGTGTATGATTTTGATGTTCACACACTGAGATGCTTGTAGTGCTGTGTAGTTTGTGTACTCTGTTGAGACACTTGGGTGGTGTGTAAAATGAGAGTGGAGCCCTAATGATGTGTGCAATAAAGAGTCTCTTTTGCAAGCCAGACAACTCACTCTCTTCTGTATGTTGTACAATGCTGCACGTAGAAAAAGAATTATCTTATAGCCTGGGACACAAAGAAGTAGAAAACATATATTGTAGAATCAGTATTTTCTTCATGTGGTTATATGTTTTTGTTTTTGCAGCAATGGTCCTCAAACTTCAAACTTATGATGACAGCGGACAAAGATGAACTGAAATGTCTAGAGAAGACAGAGAAGGATGATGTGTCTAATCTGATGAGGAAGAGAATCAGTCTCAACTATGGTCTACAAGTAAATAATTTCTCATGTTACTGCTTCTGATAAACAAAGCATTATATCTTACATATGTGATTTTTCTAATCTGTTTGCTCTTTATCTGGTAAGTTTTAATGTTTTTTGTTACATTTTCTATTCCTTGTGTGTTAGAAGTAGGCCATCATAATTTGCTGTCTGGTAGTTCCTTATTTTATTGTGCTCTGTGCAAACTGAAGTTGCTTCTGTGAGTTTTGTAAGATTGTATCCAGTAGAATTCTGACCAGCTCATTTAAAGTAAAAGTAAAGGATCTATTTTTGCACCTTCAGGCGTAGTGAATATATAGGGCTAGACCTATATTTCATAGACCATATGGCACTTGGTCAGCATCATAACTGCCGCCTTTACTTCCCAGGACTTTACCACATACCCACTCAAGGCTGGGTTGACCTGGGAGCCAAGGTCAATTTTTAAAGAAGTCAGGCCCCCATCAGGACCTGAATCCATGACCTTCCGATCAGCAGGCGAGCTAGACGATGGCGGATCCTACTTATTTAAAGTGCATTAACTACGTTTTAGTGCCTTTTAAGACATTCTTATCCTTTTCAGCAAATACAAATGGAAAACAGATAAGTCTTTTTATGGTTAAATAATTATCAAGTGTGGAAGGTTTTTTTTTTTCCTGTTATGTCTGTTTTTGTCTAGTGACAAGGATAAACATGTTCCTTGCAGAGTCACAAAAATATAATTTATTTTTAACAGGTTAAGTCAGATATTTTTTCCCTTTACACATATAATAGAATAAGTATTAGATTTATGATGAACCCTATGAATATGATTGTGTGCCATATCAAAAGATTAGCTTTTTGGATTTCAGTAAATTGGTGAAATGAGTAGAGCTGTCAAGTGGTTAGAATGCTGGCCTCTCATGCAGGAGACCTGGGTTTGAATCCTCAGTAAGGTTGTGCATTTTTTTCAGTCTGTGGCGACAGCACGAGCTGTGCAGCCCTATATCCTCAGGCTTTGAGACCCCTATGCCTACATCGCAAAAGTGGTATAATAAAGGGAGTTTTGGACAGATGAAAGGAGAGTGGTAATTGTTTTATCATCATCATCATAAACCACTTTTGCCATTAAGCATTGTGGATTTGCGATCCAGTGCACGTTGGCTGCCACTGGCTGTTTTCATGCCGTGAAGGCGTAGAGTGTCTTTAATGTTGTTGATCCATATTTTCCGTGGCCATCCTCTTGCTCTTGTAGCTGATCTTCTGAGATCTGAGATGTAGTGCTTGTGATGGTATCTGATCTTGCTGCATTCTAAGGAGACGGCCAAACCACTTGATCTGCTGTTTCTTGATTGTTTATTGTTCTTTATTTGTAATATCTTTTTCAGATATTCTTCAGCTTGTTTTCTTGTTCCCAATTTGTGTTTTATCTATAACTGCAGGCTCAGGATATTGTTACAAGCATGAAGGCCATAGAGAATGAACCACACCTTCAAGGATTATGGAGGTGGATTTACAGTATCTTTTTTTTTTTTTTTTTGCTTTTATTTGTCATAAAGTTACATATTCATTTATTTATGGAAAGGTGGATTTTCTCCTTTATACAATATTATAATTTGATGTTTTGATAAAAGTCTTGTAAAATTCTGTATGTAAAAGACATAAAGAAAACAAGGAATGCTAATCTAATACTGTGATGTTATGCTGTGCTTGTTTTATTTTCTTTAGCACAACCGCACATTGGTACTGCTTGAATTGTTTTAATTGTTCTCATTGTTGCTTTTCTTAATAATAGTGTAACTAGAATTTTGTTTCACTGGAACCCTCAGGGCCAAACAAATGAAAAGAGATTAAAAATGCAAGGGTAAGAGAATAAGAAACTGAGCTGAAAAAATAGGTGATTGATTGATTGGCACCTTTCCATCTTTCCAGACGATAGTGTTATTTGCGCTATGAAGAGACATAGGACTCACAGCCCATGGCGATGGTGAGTGTGACTAGCAAGACCCGCCCGTGTCAAGATTCTTTCTGCAGTCTTTTCTTTCTTCCCTCTCATTCCCTTCCTGATATGCCCTTTCCATACAACAACACAGTTCATGGCATTTTGTTTCCATGAGTCCACCCCAATACCTGTATCATTCATTTCCCAATTGCACACATCTTTATACCGTAAGGATGTCCTTAGGGACTCTGCCATTTTCCATTCTCCAGGTGTGACCCAGCCACCTGAGCCTTCGTAGACTTAGCATGGAAAAGACTGTTGTAGTACCTGCTGTTTCCAGTACCTCAGTGTTTGTGATTTTGTCCTGCCAATTAATGCCAAGTATTCTTCTAAGGCATCTTATGTGAAAGCTGTTAAGCTGTCTCTGCTGGTGCAAATAGTTTGACAAAGTTTCACTGCCATAAAGCAGAGTGCTGAGAACACAAGCCTGGTAGACAAGGGTTTTTAAGGGGAATAGGTGAGGACATGAGATTAGTTTATGTAATGGCAAAGGGGAAGATATCTTGGTGCATGATGGTTGAGAGTCCAAGCTCTGCTGGGGGAATGAAGGACAGAAGAAAGAATACATTATGAAAATAACATTTGAATACATGTTCACCTTAACTCATGAAAAGACATTCGAGCTTTAATAGCTTCTCAAGGCAACAGCAAGCACCGCTACCATCCTGCAACAGGCATCCTTTCACTTCTTTGTCTGGATAAAGATGAAGACAGTCTCAGCAGTGAACCTGTGTCCATACACTGGAAGGCTTCAGAAGGGGCAAGGTATACTAAAAGAACACACTACAGAAGCAATGAAAGGTGAGTTTGTGTTAAACATATGGATGCTTTTGTCTTTTAATGCTAATACTGCCAACCTAACCATCTTATAGACTGTGGGAACAACACACTGCAGCAAATTCTTGAGAAGCAGAAAATAAGATGGTTTGATCATCTAGTAAGAATGCAGCTAGAACAACTACCAATGCAGGTGCTACACCTGAAAAGATCTGATATGAAAACAAGAGGTCACCCTAGGAGAAGATGAATTGGTGAGATTAAAGAGCTTCTACATCAACATGAAATGACAATAGCTATTGCTGCCCATCTAGCAATTGGTCACATATTGTCCCTCCCCATTACGCTTAGCAGCAGAAGTGGAAATTGATGATGATGATGATGATGATGGCTGCTTTGTTGATTAAATTAGTTGATTTAGTTAGTTAGTTAGTTAGTTAGTTAGTTAGTTAGTTGGGTTATTATCATTGCACTCCGGACATGTCCATAGATCTTTCCCTCGGTATGAACCCCAACGTCCGATGGCTAATAGTACCAGTTCTATGTTGATTAACAAGTCTTCTGGTGTGCGTCTTGTTTTTTGCTATGCCGATCTTAATTATCAAGTCTGCCATTCTGGCGAGTGATGCGGATTCACTGCCCCCAATGTCCTTTATCCTTCCCATTTCTCTGAGGGCATTAATCATATCAGCATGATCCATAGGCTGACCATCGGTAGTGATAGCAGATCCAGCCAACCTGTCAGCTCTTTCATTTCCATCGATGCCTGCGTATCCCGGAACAAAAAGAAAGGTGACACCACGCACAGTGGACTTCTGTAATGATTCAAGCCATTGTCTTCACACCGAACCTGCCTGAACCCTCTGGATCATACTCATTGAATCACTGAGTATACATACGTGGTTGTAGTTTTGTGTTTCGAGCCAGGCGAACGCTTGCATCATTGCCATCACCTCCATTGTCATGCTGCTGGTTGTCATGGAGAAGGCGCCGTTGGCTTCTTTGACTGTTCTGCCCGCTCAGCGTGCTGTGAATGCCCATGTGCTTCTTTTTTGGCATATAACGGATCCGTCTGTGTAGATTAGTGCATCTGCTTCGTCTGAATTTTCACTGATGAGAACTGTGATTTATAAGCTGCCATGGTAAAGTGAATAGAGGGCTTGTTGACTTAGATTCAGTCTCTAGTAGTGACATGATTATTTTCCAGAACTGTCTATCTCTCTTTGTTTGTTTATCTGTTTGAATGTCTGTTTGTCTCTCTCTTGCTGTCTTTCTTTCTCACATTGTGTGCCCATGTCTATCCAGGGCCAGAAGACAACTTATCATGAACTTCAAAAGGAGACGATCATCATTTTTCTGGCCGTGTTATGAAAAGAACAGAACTGGAACGTTTTGTTACAACTGAAAATATTTGTGGAAAGAGAGATAGAAAAGATGATCCTCCATGCCTGTCATCAAGGCACTTGAGGATGATGATAATGTGTTTCTGCTTGTATGCTGGGGGTGGTGGGGGGAGGGGGAGGGAGGGTTGGCTATCATCACAGTTTCAGGTACACTAAATTAAAATCATTTTCTTTAATATCAGTAACTGTTGTAATAATTTGGTTCTTAGTATCTTAGTGTTAACATTACATACTAATCTTACCATTGATGACATCCTTCTAGGACAATGGCATTGCAGTTGTGTGGATGGGTACCAGATCACCCAAATGAGGACTTTGACGGGTTCATTGAAGGGTGAGTGACAGCTTTAAACTTTAATTATAATCCATTTTAATTTATTGTTAATATTTCTCAGTCATTTTGTCACCAAAAGAATACTTAAATATTATGTGAGATCTGGCTATATGGTGGTTATATTTGGTATGTGAATGAACTGATTAGATATGGAATAGCTAGGAGAATTACACTTGTTGCTTTTTGAGACAAATATTTAATGCAGGGGTTCTGAAACCTGAGGTTTATGTACCTTGAGCCCATGCCTCCACCTCTGAAAATTCTAATGTGACCCCCCCCCCCTTCCGACCACACACCCCCCCCCCCCTCCCGACACCCCCCCCCCCCCCCCCCCCAACACCCAGCCAGCTTTGTTTATTTAAAAAAAAATGCCCCCCTCCAATGATTAGAAGGTTTCATTTTAAGTTCTTGTTTCTACATGTCTGATTACTTGTTACTTTATATATTTTTCTATTTATGTATTATTCAGCACATTTTTTATCTTATTACTAATAAACACTTAAACAAAGCCCCACCCCCATTTCCCTCCAGTGAGATTTTTGTGTGTGTATTGGTGCCCCTAGGCTAAGTCCTCTGATTTAGCAGGCACCCCAGAATACCTCTATGATTGTTCCCATCAGAAATTGCTTACGTTGTTTTCTTGACCTCAAAGATAGCACCCGAAATGCTTTACAGGGCTTCTTCCTGAGGTCATATAATCATGTTAGCATAAACAAATTCATCATTATCCACCAGCCTAGTCCATATAGCATTAGTGATATCACCTCTGTCTGTGTATCTTTCTGCATGCAGTGGTGCAGTACTTGCCAGTCGGTCTGCTCATTCATTACCTTTCACTCTTTTACTCAAGCATGCCAGTTGTGTAGATCCAGTGAGAGAGGTTAAATGAAACTTCTAAATGAAATTACCCATTCAGAGCTAAGGCCTTACTGAGAATGTCTGAGGCCCCAGTCATAGTCTGAGCTATGGGACTACTTACTGAGATTGTTTGAAGCCCCAGTCATAGTCTGAGCTATGGGACTACTTACTGTGATTGTCTGAAGCCCCAGTCATAGTATGAGCTATGGGACTACTTACTGAGATTGTTTGAAGCCCCAGTCATAGTCTGAGCTCTGGGACTACTTACTGAGATTGTCTGAAGCCCCAGTCATAGTCTGAGCTATGGGACCACTTACTGAGATTGTCTGAAGCCCCAGTCATAGTCTGAGCCCTGGGACCACTTACTGAGATTGTTTGAAGCCCCAGTCATAGTCTGAGCTATGGGACCACTTACTGAGATTGTCTGAAGCCCCAGTCATAGTCTGAGCCCTGGGACCACTTACTGAGATTGTCTGAAGCCCCAGTCATAGTCTGGGCTCTGGGACTACCAATATCTTTCACCATGGAAGCAGTACTCTCTTCATTTACTTGATAACACTTGTAATGTAATGTTTACAACTAAGAGTAGTCTGTGATTTCACAAATGAATTATGTGGCAGTATCCTGAAGTGCTGTGATGCCAAGTTCTTGACTATGCTGAATGCAAAATCTGATTTTTCAGACTAGTTGAGGCTGGTGACCCAGAGAGGGCGTCTGCAATTGCATTATTGTATCTCCATATCAAGAGAGCTCTTGAGATTCTCAGTAACTGTGCTATGAGCGCTGAGCAAGGTAATTAACCGTCTGTAAAGTACAAAACCTTATAGTTAATGCATGTTTAGCACTTAGTGAATAGTATGTTGAAATATCATTTAGTTTAATTAAAGCAGACTGTTTGTTGCTTCCTGGCTAAAGAAACAGTAAATTGAGGGTTTTAGAGTATTGCAGATTCTGTTTAGTCTAGTCAGTCTGTCATATATTAAACTATCAGCATCATCCTGTTGTGTCATTATATGTCATACAGGGCTTGCAGTTTATTCTTCCATTCCATTATTTTGTGTGCATTTATTTCACTATCATGGATCAAATTCAGTCCAGCACCTCAGGATCCTCCCTGATCGACCTAGCCTTAAATGGGTACGGCTTAAGTCCTGGGAAGTAAAGGTGGCCAGCATGTTGTTGATCACATCACCCACTGAGTGCCGATTGGTCTATAAAATATAGGTCTTGCCTTATATGCCCAAATACGACTGAAGGCATGGAAAATATCATTTGCTTACTTTGCTTAAGGCGTTCTAATTGTTTCCCCAATCCATTTATTCCTCATTTAAGTGCCTGTTTGGTAGAGTTTCCTTTTGTTTCACCTCAGGGCGCCTAATATATCACCTCCTTCTTTGTTGTGTAACTGTTGAATCAAGTGACTGTTCAGCTGTTTCTCTTTATTTCTTTGCCTTTCTTCTTCTTCTTCTTCTTCTTCTTCTTCTTCTTCTTCTTCTTCTTCTTCTTCTTCTTCTTCGTGTTCACCGGCTGTAAACTCTGGTGAAAAGTTCTGGATGTTCGTCCACTTCTGGACTGCAGTCCTGTTCCAGAACCTGAGTGTTGCGTGTACATCCGTTTGACAGATCTGTATGCAGACTGTTGGTTCCTTGCCTCTCGGGCAGATGCACTCCGACTTCGACGGGAGCTCCTAATTAGTCGACTCTTACGACATGCTTTTGGGTAGGCAGTGGGTCTATTCTTGTTTTTCCCATAGTAGGGCCTCAGAACCCACACAGGGGTTTGCCTTTCTTGAATTCAACCTCTTTAATATTCATCAGTTTTCTTGTTTTTTAATGCATTAAACTTTCATTCCATGATATAAAAGTATAGGTAAAATTTTTTGGCTATGATCTAAATTATTGTCTTTTCAGAGATCACTATAAAGAACTTATCTGTGTATCTGTCAAAATGTGTATTCCTTAAATAAGACAACTCTGGCTTCACTTTGTCAATCCCAGTCAGTGTGCTCCCTGTGTATATATTTATTCTTTTTGTACATGATTCAGTGTGAATATACATTTTACATTTAGTTATAACACACCAACAAAATCTGGCATGTAAGATATGTATATCTGGCCCCTGTTAAAGTGATACCTTTGAGGTGTCTTTTGTTGCCATTTTATTACCCCTCTGAGCAACTGCTATGACTATCTGAAAGTTATGAGCTATAAAAATACAAATGCATTCCTCTTGCTTTGTGAATGGACTTGGATCAGAAAGGAAGTGTGGATTAGGTCCCATTTTATGACATGTCATCTTTTGTTTTCAAAAAAAAAACTCCCCAAAAAAAACACACAAATTTGACATTACATTAGAAGGCAAAGTGCCTAAAGCAGGTGAACAAGTTAAAATATTTGGGGATAATTTTAACCATCTGATGGGAGATGTGTGACAGAGATTAAGGACAGGAAATGCCAGGCGAAGGTGGCATTTCAAAAGATGGAAATAAAAAAATACAACATGCCTCTTCCATTAAACATAAGAAAATGAGTACTTAAATGTTACGTTGAATCACTGCTGCTTTTATGGATGTAAATCTTAGAGTGTACGTGAAAATAAAAATTAAAAAGAGCTTGGATTACGTGAAGATGGAGTTTCTGGGATGCAGGCTGCATATATCATGGACAGCCAGGGTAACTAGCGACTGCCTGGAATAGATAATTAAATTAGAAAACTATATAACATTGTAAGAAAGAGGCAGCTGGTGTTCTTTGATCATTTGATGAAAAGGGAGGCAATGGAGAAAATTGTGATGACTGGAAAGATCAACAGTAGAAGAGGCAGAGGCAGACCAAAAATGAACACAGCCTACCACATTGGAATGCAGGTTACTTCATAACCATATTGGGTGCCCCAAAATAACTGCTGTGTTGTTGAACAGGGTGTTTGGGATTTTTATCTGCTTGATTATCCTTGATATGTTAATCCAACTGAATGCAAATCTGGAGGGGAACATTTAAAAAAAAATTTTTTTTAACTAAAGTACACATTACCGCTTGATGGCCTGAAGCGATGGCACGGAGAGGAATATCATCAGTGGAGCTGATTCACAATACCAAGGATCGGGATCTGTGAAGAGACATGAGTGCCTAAGCTGCCTGGCAAGGCACATGATGATGATGATCCTTGTGAGAGCTTATACCCAACTTTTGTGGTATCAGTGCATTATGTTGAATGATATAAGGACTGCAGAAGTGGCTTGACATAATCTGTTATTATAATGGTTTATTAAATTTAAAATATTCCACGTTTGTCTTGAAGATTTATTTATAATTTCAGTATCTGTAAACAAGCCATTCATTTGTTATGGTTACTGAAGGGCTACAATATTTGCATTATGTTAACCAATAACATATAAGATTAAAGTTTCTGCTTTGTTGAGTATATGTCTTTCTATATTTATGTCACCTTCCTTAAAGACAGTATGATTCACCACAACCATTTTATTAGTCTGCTTTTTAGAATAGGTTTAACTAATGTTATGCCAGAAATGTTAAAAATGTTGGAAGCTGGGTTAGCACAGTGGTTAGATGCTCACCAATCAGCACGATGGTCTTTTGTTTAAGTCAGCATTAGAAATTTTCTTATTTTTGTTGTTGTTTTTGTTCAGAATGTGACCTTGGTTCCAGGGTCAGGCCTGCCTAAAATGATTACCAGGAAAGTGCTTGGAAGTAAAAGTGCATGGCATGATGTTGACCACATCACCTACTGAGTGCTGATTGGTCTTCAGAAATGTGATTCTAGCATCTTATTACCAATGTGTCACTGGTGTAAACAGGGTGCTTTACTTAATTTCTGATAGAACTGGCACATGATTGTAATCTGTGTTTTAATTATTTATTATTCACCAACTCTCAGGTACCTTTTTTCCTTTTTTCTGCTGGTGTTTAATACTTTGATTCAGATTTGTTTGTTTTTGTTTAAAGCACATGCAAACTTTTTTTTTTTAATTAATGAATATTATATTAGACATTGCAGCTAAAATCTCCCATGATTGTATTCCTGGCACAGAAGGTAAACCAAACCTACAGGCTGTGGCAATGGCTTTGTCTGGCTTCACAGAAGACAAGAATGCGTTATGGAGGCGAACATGTGGCACACTCAGATACCAGTTAGAAAATCCATATCTGAGAGCTATCTTTGCTTTCCTAGCCTGTGACGAAGACAACTATGAGGATGTCCTGGTAGGTTTGTTTGCAAGTTTCAAGACATCTATTAAATAAGGAGAATTATTGTGTCATTAAACTGTATGACTTTCTCATTTACTGTCATTTAGTTCTTCCGCATTTATCCTTGTAAGGGTAGTTGGCACACTGTGTTGTGGTTTTTCAGCTAGACTGATATGTGTGACTGTGGGCCCAACACAGTTACCTTTTAGATTAGTTACCTTTTACAACATTCTTGTTAGGGGACAGCGGATCTGGTCTCCTCCATCCCCTGTTGTTTAGTAATGTCTACACAGACTTGTAACCCATCAAGGAGAACACTCACGGAGGTGGATGGCAGAGATGTGTTTGTTGAGAACGCTCACAGAGGTGGATTGCAGAGATGTGTTTGTTGAGAACGCTCACAGAGGTGGATGGCAGAGATGTGTTTGTTGAGAACGCTCACAGAGATGGATGGCAGAGATGTGTTTGTTGAGAATGCTCAAAGAGGTGGATGGCAGAGTTGTGTTTGTTGAGAACACTCACTGAGGTAGATGGCAGAGATGTGTTTGTTGAGAACAGTGGTGAGATTACATTTTACATCATCATTATGTTGTTTATAGTGCTGTAATACATCACAAAGGCTCACAGTTTATTCCTCTATTCCATTCTTTCCTGTGCAGTTTGTTTTAACATCCTGGATGGAATCCATTTTACATCTGTTTATATAAATAATACTTTTAAAGAAGCATGCCGGAAATATGCCATCCAGCCTGTCACAATTTGATATGTTAACATAATAAATATAAAGCAGTTAGCTTTTTTTAATGTCTCACGCCAGTTAAGAGCTGCAGTTCTGGTATAAGACCATTAGTGTTGGTACATCTGACAACTGCCTTATGAATTGTTACTTATGTGTGCAAGTTTCACAATTTTGCTGACATAATTTTCACTAGCTTTCAAATGGGACACTGCAGGACATTCTGGGTGATTTCCACTGGCACAGGAAGAGAGCATTGTTCGGTTTTCATTGTTCAGTTTTCATTGTTCAGTTTTCATTGTTCAGTTTTCATTGTTCAGTTTTCATTGTTCAGTTTTCATTGTTCAGTTTTCATTGTTCAGTTTTCCTCCTGGGTATGTCTCCAAGTGTTTCTAGGCTAACAACTCCTAAGGAAAGGAGCAGTTATGAGGCAATCCATCAGCAGTGATGTTTGTTTGAACATTGATTAACTAACAAATTAACTTATTATGTCTCTCTGGTAATCTAATGGCACAGTATCTTCTGTCCAGCAATATCTGTGTTTAAGTCAACACTGACTAGTTCAAGGGGCTTTATCAAGACTATTTGTAATTGTTCAGAATACAGTTAAAGTGTCTGTTATCATTTTGTATCTGATTGTTTTTTTCTCCACGAATGTTGTTATAATTATCTGTACACTTATATTTAGCAAATTAATGTTTCACTTCTCCCTGATCTGTATATCTACATATAATTTATTTTCTCTCAGTGGTTTTGCATGCATAGGTTATAATTTTGATAGAAATTTTAGGGGACATTTCAGTTACGAACTTATAATTTTGTTTTATTAAATGTCTGTTTTACACGCAGAATGAAGAGGACATGTCAGTTGAAGATAGGATAGCTTTTGCCCTGAACTACTTGCCAGATGCAAAGGTAAGGAGATGTGCTGAAAACTTGTAAAGTGTAAATGAATATCTAGATCTTAGTTAATCTGAGTTCCTCATAGAAAGGGCTACAGGTAAAAAAAAAAAAAAACAGAAACTTGACTAAGCACAGTTCATGTATATTATACTTCACATATCACTTTCAGTTTGTGGTTGCAGGTTGAGTTGAGAACAGTTTTATCTTAACATGTGTTAAATATAAATTAGTTTTTCACACTGCAGTTTTGGCAGCTCGCTTTTTCATCATTTGTTATTCATTCTTTATTCTTTTAATTTAATCTCCGACTCACTTTTCAGTAGTTTTTTATTGTATACATTGTTCTTGCAATCTATTCTTTGATTCTATCTGTTATATGTTTGCATAAATATTTTTTATATGTTCAAGCTGAAGCTCTATTTGTGCAAGCTGGCAGATGAACTGACAAAGGCTGGAGATTTAGATGGCATTCTGCTTACAGGTATAGTTTACCTGTAATTACTTATAATGCAAGAATGGTTTGTTATTATCGTTTAGGATAGTGCTTGTGGCACTTATTCAGCAATGCCTTCCTCCTTAATTTAAAAAAAAAACAACTTGCCACTCCGAGAAAAAAGACCCCCCCCCCCCCCCCAACAACAACAACAAAAGACAGCATAGGATCATTTGATTAACTTTTTCAGTTACACACATACACACAAAAAGTGTCATGTTTTTTTTTTTTTTAGTTACTCTACATTGATCTATTTTGTCAATTCCTACTTTCATAACTCTCTTTATTTATTTTAATTTTCTGTCACAAATTTTTAAAATATTTTTTTATTTTTGTCTGATTTATTAGTTTTGGCAGAACATGTTACCAGAAGCAGAACCATAGAATTCTTCTATCTTTTATCTAGTTGGGGGCATAGGCCCTCAACCAATGCATATCAAGCCATTGTTGACATTTGTTGTTGAAGCTGTTTATATAATGGGGTAGCTAATCCAAGTACCATCTCTCTCTCAGTTACCTCTGACAACATGCTTGGTAGAGTGCAGTGCCACTTTTTTCTTCTTCTGTAGAGCTTATCAGCTACAGACTGGCAGAAGGTTCTGGTTGTTCATCCACTTCTGGATTTTGATCTTGTTCCAGAACTTGAGTTTTGCATGCACCTTCGATTTACAGAATTGGCTTGTTTGCATACTGTTGATGTCTCCTCTCTCATGCAGATGTGGTCTGGTTTTCTAAGAAATTCAGTGCTATAATTCTTAGCTTGCCCTAGTGGCCAGGGGACATACATACAGAGCTGCAGCATTACCATGTCAGTTTTATCTGGTATTGTTTCCTGAACTTCTCACTCCCTCATAAATGTTTGTTGCGGCCCATTACATATTCTTGCTAAGTTAATGTGCAAGAATATCCTTGCTAAGTTAATGTGCAAGAATATCCTTGCTAAGTTAATGTGCAAGAATATCCTTGCTAAGTTAATGTGCAAGAATATCCTTGCTAAGTTAATGTGCAAGAATATCCTTGCTAAGTTAATGTGCAAGAATATCCTTGCTAAGTTAATGTGCAAGAATATCCTTGCTAAGTTAATGTGCAAGAATATCCTTGCTAAGTTAATGTGCAAGAATATCCTTGCTAAGTTAATGTGCAAGAATATCCTTGCTAAGTTAATGTGCAAGAATATCCTTGCTAATTTAATGAGCAAGAATATCCTTGCTAAGTTAATGTGCAAGAATATCCTTGCTAAGTTAATGTGCAAGAATATCCTTGCTAAGTTAATGTGCAAGAATATCCTTGCTAAGTTAATGTGCAAGAAGAATATCCTTGCTAAGTTAATGTGCAAGAATATCCTTGCTAAGTTAATGTGGGGGGGGGGGGGGGGGGGGGGGGGGGGGGGGGGGGGGGGGGGGGGGGGGGGGGGGCTGCATGGTCTTGAGGCATGGTGTCTGCCTCAAGCCCTGGAGGTTTCGGGTTCAATCCCTGGTCTGGGCTGCCCTTGGCAGTTGGAAATAAAAAACAGTAAGTAGCCTAATCGTGCTGCCTGGGCAAAATTTAGAGTTAAAAATATACCCAAAGTATTTCAGGATCCTCGCCGGTGCTACAGAGTCTGCACTGTGCTGAGCTTCTTCAGACTCAGACTTGGGTTAGAAGAAGAACGAAGCACTTTTGGGTTTACTACCCGTGTGCCATGATGTTGATCCGTTGTTCAAATTTCAAACTTCAGCTAAGTTAATGTGATGGTTTTTCCTTAACTTCCACAATCCATAGTGTTAAAAATGAAGTTGTAAATTTATGATGTTAGGAATTCTGATCTTGTAGTACACGCTGTTTATTCTGTGGATACCAGGTATGTCAAACAAAGGGATTGACCTTCTGGAAAACTATGTGGATAGAACCTCCGATGTTCAGACTGCTGCCATCGCAACTGTTTTCTCTGTGTCACCTGCTGTTATGAAGGACACAAGAGTCATTGAATGGATAGAAGGGTAAGTTGTTAATTTAGCTGTCTTGATTTTGGGGTGGATTTAACAGGAGTGGTTATTTGTACGGCTGCAATATGCTGGAATTGTCACCTGCTATCTCGGCGTCTGTGGCTTAGGCGTTGCAAATGCTCTTTGTAATGCCTGGGTGCCGGGTTCGATCCCAGCTGCAGGCCTTGCGCCTTGCATTGGTTTTGACAGTAGTATCGAGAAGCCGACAGTCTAGAAAGCGATGGCAAACTACTGGACATAAATTTGCCTAGAAAAACCACAACAGCCAAAAAATGCTGGGGTTGGTTCTGCAACATCCTGTAAAGGATACACAGTTAACTTTATGTAAGCAGCTATTGTTCTGGTATCTGAATGGTTTAATTAAAGAGTTTAAAATGTAAGACATAAAACGGTTGTAATAGTTTTTCCAAACTGTTAACTTGGCAAACTTTTGTAGCTGTGATGTTGCCAGTGTTTTATATAGATTATATTGTTGCTTTCATTGGCCTTGCTCTTATTTTTGTTGATACTGCTTTGAAATTAACTAATTCTGATGATGACCTTTCTACTCCTTTGATTTCTGGTGTCTGTTTAAGGCTGGATCACCCCGTAGCCCAGGTCAGTGTATAAACACTACACACCTTGTAAGAAATTTAAACACATGCCACATATATTAGTTAAAGCCTAAAGATAAAAAAATGGAAACTTTGCAAAATTTAGATATATATTTACTAGTTTAATTGTAACTGAATGTCAATTTTATATAACGCACACACTTTCGTGAGGGGGCTTCAGATGAAAACCTCAAAAGTGTTTTAAAAGTTACAGTACAAATACCATTGTCTAGTAACATGTCAGTATTGTTGTTAAGAATGTCAAGAGTGTTAAACATGGGAAATTACAGTGCAGATGAACAGGGCGATATCAAAATGGCAGTTTAAAGATGCCCACCCCACTTTTGATATGCACTAAAGAAGGGCAGTTTTCCTTATCCATGTGGATCTTCTACGGGTCAAAATGGAAGTCTAGCAACTTGGAGTGTCACAGATGTTATTGGCAGGTTAACTTATCAGCTTTCTTATTTTGTCTAAATAAACAACAGATAGGTGCAGCTAGCGTATATGTAGTGGAAGTGGGCTTTGCGTATTTAAGCCACTCTGCAGATATGTGCAGCTAGCATATATGTAGTGGAAGTGGGCTTTGCATATTCAAGCCACTCTGCAGATAGGTGCAGCTAGCATATATGTAGTGGAAGTGGGCTTTGCATATTTAAGCCACTCTGTAGATAGGTGCAGCTAGCATATATGTAGTGGAAGTGGGCTTTGCATATTTAAGCCACTCTGTAGATAGGTGCAGCTAGCATATATGTAGTGGAAGTGGGCTTTGTGTAATTAAGCCACTCTGCAGATAGGTGCAGGCTAGCATATGTGTACTGCAAGTGGGCTTTGCGTAATTAAGCCACTCTGCAGATAGGTGCAGGCTAGCATATGTGTAGTTGAAGTGCGCTTTGCATATTTAAGCCACTCTGCCGTGTAAATATTATATGGAGTAAAGCACATCTCTTGTATTTTCAGATACAGGGACCTGTTGGATAGATGGAGGTTTTGGAATCAGAGGTAATTATCTGTTTATTTCTTTCAGATTTTTACTAGATACTGGTTCAGTAGAGAATGTTACTGAAGTTTGTCTTCATGGCCATCCTTATTTAAGTTACCAGATGCGAGTTGAGTTTTTTTTTTTTTTTTTTGGGCCCTTTGATGAAAAGTTGCAGTTTAAACCATATGTCAGACTCAGTCACTCATGGTGAGTGCATTGCCTGGTACCGAATGAGTTAACATGAATTCCAAAAGACTGAAAAATCTAGATTTCATATTAAAAAATGTGTACTAACTGGGTACTAACAAAAATAATACATCCCTGCTGGACTGAAATTTTGTTTCTTTTAACCAAATGTTCTTAAGTGAGTTTGTTTTAATGAGGCTTTACTGTAGTTATTTCGGCGTCTGTGGCTTAGGCATTGCGAATGTGCTTCATAATTCTGGGGTGCCGGGTTCAATCCCAGCTGTGGATGATTTGTCTTGCATTGGTTTCAGCAGTGGTACTGAGAGCTGATCGTTCAGAAGCAGTGGCAAACTACTGAAAATAAAATTTGCCTAGAAAAACCACAGCAGCTAAAAAATGCTAGGGTTGGTTCAGCAACATTCTGTAAAGGATACACAACTAACTTAACATTATCTCAGAGAGACATTCAGAAAGCATAAAGCCCCACATTTATTTTCTCAGCGAATAATGGAACAATAAACATTAATATTGCATCCTTCAAAGTTGAAATGTCTGTAATATCTGTAGCAAGTGGCACCACATTTCAGTGAAAAGGACAGCTGCATTAGACTGTTAAGGTGGCATGGAAGGACACTGTGTGTTACAAACAGTGAATTGTTAAGAGTTTTTGGTTGAGGAAAAAGAAACTGCTCAACATTCATAAATGTGTGTTTGCTGTGTATGAGAGATGTGCAATTGATAGGAGCATAGTTAGGTTCAGAGAGTTCATGCTTCAGAAATTGTAGAGCTGAACCTGAGGATATTCACACTGTGCAGAAATGGCTACATAAACAGGAAAAACTGGATATGGACAAGGAGTACATAACCTTATTACACATTGGCATAAGGTCATAGAAGTTGGTGAAGATTATATACAAATGTTTGCTTCACAAACATAATGAATGATCTTGTCAGTTGATTTCTTACATTTTGCACAGTTTATGCGACAAGTAATTTGGGGCATTGCTTTTTGAATGCCTCGTACTTGTGAAAAATAAGGCAGAAAGTGTCATTTACACTGAGGTACAGTATTTTACTTCTTCTTAATAGTGTTGGTATACTCTGGTAACAGTGTGTTTAATCATAAAAGTCAAAATAATGTGTGATTGCAGTTGCAGAAAAAGAAGAGAAGCTGGAACAGTTTATTATGTTATTGGGATTTTTACTACAAGTTTGTGATATTTTTTAAAGACTTTAATAATTTTTTTTGTAATTAAAAAAGTACACACATTTTTAAGATTATTTTTTATAGTGTTCACTTGTGGCAGATTTTTTTTTTTTCCTTCTTCAGAGCACAGTTTGACATTGTCCGTCAGTCATTTAGTCAGGAGTACAGAGTCACAACACAAGTGCATGTCAGTTGTAACTTCTGTGGAAAGTCTGTGTCTGCAAATGTGTCTTTCTTAGGCAGAGCTCGTAATTTGCTCACATCTCCCTTTTCAAGAGGTCCACAGAATCGACCTAAGGTAAAGAAAGGTCTTTTTCTTCCAGACAATTTTCCATTTGAATATTAGTATTTTCTTTTGTTATATATCATCCATCAACTTTTGAATATTTAAAAACTTGCATGTGTGCTCTCCCCTCTTTTGCTTAACATTTATATAGAAAGAATATCTAAAGAAGCAAATTCAGACAACATACATTTTTATAATCATGAGAAAGTACAAACGGACGAAATAATCAGCACGCCCACATTAACTCTTTCAGGCCCATGAATTTTGACAGACTTGGCCCAAATTAATTTCTCTTTACAAAAATGGCAGAAGGGTGGGTGCACAAGAAAGGCTAAAGAGATTGTAATATACTTCTAATCCCTATAAAAGTATACATTTTTTAAAAGAGAAATGAATGTACATTTTGAATCTGATGATAAGTGTTTGTTTAATTTTGTTATAGTTATTTGGAAAGAAGAATTCAGCAGGTGTTAATTTCACAAGGACAAGTTTTAACAAAAAAATTCTTCACTTGCCATGGTTTTGCAGCCACAAGAGTAGTAAATATCCAAATTTGAGAACAACACTTCAAAGTTTGTTCAATTACCTAACATATTCAAAAGTTATAATAACTTTCTGGGTAAGTTTTGCACTCAGGAGCTCTTAGTTCTCACAGAGTGCTGAGCAAAATTTCAGAGAAAAAAAGGCTGAAAAATAAGCCATTACACACACACTATTTACTATTTACTTTGTACAGTCATTTATAGACTGAAGCTGTGATGATTTTAGTGTAGCTTAGCCATAATATAGTACTATCTCTTTGTTTAGAGCACTTTCCTTCTCTTACACCATAAATACGGTATTATGGGACATTGTTTGTGTAATAAACTCATAAGAATCGCTAGACTCCAAACAGCTGATCGCTCAGCTTCACTAGTAAAAATTCACAGTCCGAATCACTTTTTTTCTGAAAAATCTCAATTTTTATTATCATTATCACAATCTGACTGAAACAATTTCAGAGCTCCGGTCGCAGAAAGATGCATTCTGCGACCTGTACTTGTAGTTGGAACACTGGTATTCATGGCACTCAAAAACAAACTTAGAAAATGAACTGCTAAAAAAAAAATTTGCTGTGTTTTCTCTCAAATTATCCATGTGCGGTTTAGTCCAGGAGATGAAACTAAAAAGATTTCGGCAGAGTGACTTTCCCTGAATAGTTTAATTGTACCTCCAAACATTAGAAACTAGTACGAAGCCGCGTGCGAAGCAAAATGTAAGGGACATACGATTGACGATGACACTGTTGTTTGGGCGAAACGGAACCCTCTCAAACAACGCTCACACCGTAGTTTGGGCATCAAAGAGTTAAATGAACTACTATTTGCTGACGACCAGTGCATGTTCTACCCTGAAGAAGATAACTACAAGACAGCATTAACAGGTTAAACTCAGCATACAACATGAAGATCAGTGCACACAAAACCGTAACAATGCAAGTTAGTAGAACCCCTGGCCTACACAGCTGAATAGTTCCAGTCTGAATCAAGTTAGGGAATTTAAATATCTAGGAAGTATGATCAGGGAAGGTGGTAGAATTGACTAATAGAAATAGAAACCAGATGTCAGAAAGCAAGTGCACTTATATACCAATTGTCACCATTATTAAGACATCCAAACATAACTATGAGTGCCTAGAGACAGATTATAAACAGCATATTCTTTCCAACATTAAGCTTCCAGTGCCAAACATGGACACTATCTAAAGCCCATGTACGCAAAATCACCTCCTGCGAGATGAGATGCTTGAGAAAAACCGCTAACCTTACAATCAGAGATCGAATGAACAATGATACTGTCGTACAGATTGTAGGAACGACACCTTATACTAGATTCATCGAGAAACAGCAGATCAAGTGGTTTGGCCATCTCGTTCAAGCACAAGGACTACATATCAGAAGATCAGCTAATCAGCTACAAGAGCAAGAGGATCGCCGTGAAAAATATGGACTGAGAACATTAAAGACACTACACCTTCACGACATGACAGTAGCTGGTGGCAGCCAGCATGCACTGGATAACAAATTATTCCTGCCCATGACGCTTAGTGGTAGAAGTGGTTTATGATGGTGATGCAAAACTTGTAAGAAATCAGTCTTATAGGAATGTTTAAAAAAAAATTTACAAACTAGTATCTATTATTTCATGAAATATTTTTTATTACCGATGATATCTTCTTTTGAAGACCATGTCATGGGATTTTGGTAATCATGTCTGTCCACAGTCTTCAGTCTCGTGTACTGTCATTTATTTCTGCCACAGATGATCCTCCATGCCGTTCAAAACTCCTATGTCCTCTCTCTCCATCTCACTTTGCCTCTGTTCCCCTCTAACTGTCTAGTTGTCACAGTGTACTCCACTTTTTCCATTCTCATGAAGTGACCAAAGAATGTAAGTCATCTCCTGGGGCAGGTGAAAAAAATCTCTTCATGAAAAGACTAAGTTGGCTGAAAATATCAGAAGAGTGGATAGGATACACATTATAAGCAAGTCTTTATTTATCTAAACATTATGTTTATTTTTGAGAGAGACAGAAAGGGGGGGGGGGGGGAGAAAGCTGGGGGAAGGAGTCTGAAAATTAATGGAGAAAGAACAGAAAAAAAAGAAAGATGAAGAAGCTCAGAAAAAAGCCCGTAACAAAATAACAACAAAGTTGACATCCACATCTTTCGGGCATCGAACATGCAGTGCTAGACTCATATTCAATGTAGACCAGTTGGGACTCATAGGGTAATGAGGTCTCACTGACCGCCTTAACTTTCCAGGAGGTTACCTGGCACCCATTTCAGTCTGGGTTGGACTGGAAGCTAAGGTCAGTTTTGAAAACAAACCTTACTGGCTTCAGATTTGAACCCTTGACCTTCAAGTTGTTAGATAAGCAACTAACTGCTCTGCTACCATGAAAACTTAGGTAATCTGTTCCTGACAGATAATAAAATAAACATGCTTTAATTGTATGTAATTTTTGTAATTTTTAATGTTTTTTTTTTAAAATGAATGGCTGTGTTTTGTTAAGAATTTGACTAGACATTCATTACATTCCATTCATAGGTTTCGTGTTGTCCAAGCTGTAGAAAGGCCTTACCTCGGTGTGCTATATGTCTTGCTCATATGGGAACATTTTCAGGATCTGGACTTGAAGCAGGTAAGTTTTACATAGAGTTTCAGGTGTATAATTTAGAACTTCAGCATGAAATTTGATGTAAATAAACGTAATTTTCAAAGTGTATGACAACAGGACTTGTACTGGGTTATAGCATTATAATTTCTTAGAGAATCTGTTAGACTGAATTGTGGAAACTTTGTCTCACTCAGTTTTTTTTTTTTTGGTCGGTCCACCAGTTTATCCACTCTGGGCTGCTACCTGAAGGTTTACCCCCTGTGTAAAAATATATCGCAAGCTTGATGGCAGATCCCAGATATCCTGTTCAATCTCCAAAGAAGTTATTAGGGCTACGGTCACACCAGCTAGCTGTAACCTGCAGTCTTGTGTGAGTAAGGATCGGACACCTGTAGCAGCTAAACTAGCCTGGTGATACTTGCAGTCTTGTGTGAGTAAGGACAGGACACCTGTAGCGGCTACACTAGCCTGGTGATACTTGCAGTCTTGTGTGAGTAAGGACAGGACACCTGTAGCGGCTACACTAGCCTGGTGATACTTGCAGTCTTGTGTGAGTAAGGACAGGACACCTGTAGCGGCTAAACTAGCCTGATGATACTTGCAGTCTTGTGTGAGTAAGGACAGGACACCTGTAGCGGCTACACTAGCCTGGTGATACTTGCAGTCTTGTGTGAGTAAGGACAGGACACCTGTAGCGGCTACACTAGCCTGGTGATACTTGCAGTCTTGTGTGAGTAAGGACAGGACACCTGTAGCAGCTAAACTAGCCTGACATTTTCTGTGCCCTCACTGCTAAGGACGAGATAGCTCGTCCTCGACTTTTTTTTACAGATTGCAAAGAACGGTAATTCTTGAGGGTGAAATAGCAATACACATTACCTTAATCTGATCAAACTGACCCGTTTACATTCAATTAAAACCCTTGTCACATGCGTTTAGGTGTATTTAGCTGCATTTCACGTTATCCTGTTGCTTTGTTACCATAGAAGCATTGTCAGTGAATGGTAATTTTTTTGCCCTGAAATATATTTCTGGTTTTGCGTTAGTCTACATTTTTTTTAAAAAATACAAAATAACAAGAACATTATTATCACTTTAAAGAAGAATTAATGGAGTTTCTTTCAAGGAGTAATAGTAAGGATCACTTTGAAACGTGTAAGTTATATGAGCTGGGTTAGTTTCGCAGCACTCCAGCGGACACGTGTACTTCTGTCCGTGAGCAAGACTGACCAGTGACCATATGACCTAGCTATCTACATCGATTGGATTTGAAATGGAACCCAAATAATCAAAATAAAGATATGGTCACGTACTGACATGACGATTAATATTATTGTTTCTAATATACTATACAACTGACATGAATGTGTTTGTCTATTAAAGTGTACAATACTGGTCTTTTTTTCATTTCATAGTTTCATGTGAATTTCTAGTGTAATTGGAATTACGTCTGGCTTACAATCGAAAGATCCAGCGTTCAATCCCTACATGCCCTTTTTTTTTTTTTTTTATTATTTTAAATGTAAATTTTAAATTTAAGCTCTTAGCATTTTTGATAACAGATCACCGAAGTAATAATTAATTAAACATCCTGTCACGTGCGTTCAAGTAGATTTAGATGCTTTACACGTTATCCTGTTCCTTTGTGAAGCGTGGTTGGTATACTGTGCATTTGTTACCGTGCAATATTGTGTCTTTGGATAAGTCTACATTTCTTTCATACAAAATGGCAAGACAATTTGTTAAAGTTGACGAAGAACTGATGGAGTTTCTTTCGAGGAGTGATAGCGAAGATGACTTTGAAATGTGTAGTTCTGATAGTGAGCAGGACGATCTTACTGTGCCATCGACA